TGGGAAAGAGCTAGGGAGAATTGATTCAACTTCGTGATGTGTTTGGGAGCTCATAGATAACCTCCTCTGACTCCATAGAGGTGAGATTATAGTAGCTTTGCATTGAGGTGGAGACATTTGTTTGGGATCTTGTTGAGCAGGATAAATTGTCAGGAACTGCTTGAAAGCTCCTCAAGTGGCAGTAATGTCCAGAAAGCTGAGGAAGAGCTCGATAAATTGTTTATTGTGACAATGCCTAAACACCTCAGTCGGGCAACGTTTAGATGAGAGGAGAGAGAGAGAGGTTGTCTGCATTCTAAAGAAAGAGTTTGCAATCTGAATTCAGGGCAGGAAAACAGAATAATCTGAAACGGAATTCTGACTTGTTACCTGCTGACTGTTAGGAGAAGGTAGTACTGTATCAGCAGGTCAAATATTAATATTGCCCTTGCCCTGGAAAGTTTGTTATCCGATTGGGTTTTGATACAGCTGGAGCGAGGGCTTCAGAAGCCATGTCTGATAGATATGGTGAGAGCAGGCTTAGGGTGGGCTGTGCCTGGGCTCGTGAGGGTATGAGACACACAGGGTATGATGGCCAACTGAGGGATGTGGACTTCATGCTCAGTTGCAGCTGATGCAGAAATTGTCGGGATGGGAACAGAGAGGCTGCATCTGTTTTGTCAGCCTCAGGAATGCTTTCAAGTTAGTGGGTCTGTGTACATACCTTGGCCACAGCCCAAACCACAGGGGGCAAGGGCTGGATGCTCCCTGGTAAACACTGTGGCACACAGATACATTCACCTCCCTTTGCACTCTGGTTTCTGTGGGAAGGAAATCCAGGAATATGGGCTGCCAGACAAGCACAGCCCACACCAGCTGGGTCCCCAGCCAGCCCCAAGTGCAAGCGTGCCTGCCTCTGGTAGTACACGTTAGGCAAGAGGAGCAAAGAGGACAGCTTTGCACAAAGCCTGGGCTGCAGGTTAGGGTGGTATAGGGCAGCTCTGTGAATGTGTTCCTGGCTGGCTTTACAGGTGAGAGATAGAAGCTTTGAACCTTATCTATTACTGATGTTTGTGGCAAGGTTTGAAAACTGCTTGAAAATGTCTTCCTTCAAGCAAAGGGAGCTTGTGATATTTAGTCACTGCCTATGAAGTGACTATGTTAGCACCCTGCATGTAGCTCTTGGAGTGTTTCTGTTTCTAAACACTTATATATTGTGTCTGGAATTACTCATGCACAGAAGACCCTTCCCACAAGAGTTCCATGTCTTTCCCACTACATTTCTAACGCAGATAACTTTTGGATCTGGTTTAGCCCTTTCTCTCTTCTTCAGCTCTGTCAGTAAAGTAGTTCAGTAGTATTTTACTATCTAGATCTCTTAGCATGAATGTGGTTAGCCTGCGTAAAAGAGCCATATAAATAAAGCTGACCTCTTCCCTGTCTTATACAGGGCAACTGAAGTGGTGTAATGTGCACACCCACAGCTGAGGTCCTGAATCTTAACAAGGAAGTGAAAGATCAAAGAATCACAGAGTGGTTTGTGTTGGAAAGGACCTTTAAAGGTCATCTAGTCAAACCCACATCCCATGGGCAGGAACATCTTTCATTAGATCAGGTTGCTGAAATCCTGATGGAGAGATGTATGATAGGAAGATGGATGGCCTACAGATAGAGACTGGAATCTGCACTTACTGAATTTGATTTTTCTTCATTGCTGAATATTCGCTTTTTGATTTTTTTTCTGCCCCTATTTTCTTCAATAAATGTCAGACTGCCTGGTATTGGCATTTCTGCAATAGATAATGGCAACATAAACAGGGCAACAGAGAAGTAGGACTGCTCTCTATGTATTGGCACAGGTCTCAGAAATCGGAATAATTTCAGATATGGAAAAAAATTATACAATCCTATCAGAGATCCAGAATCTTAAGAGAACTTTACTCAGCACAGCCTTCATGTGTTAGTCACCATGGCAGAAAAGTTCAAGGCAAAGCCTGTGCCAGCCCAATTTCATATTTAAACAGTCCTTCTGCACGTCTCCCTGGGCTTGGGGATTTCTTACAGTCACTGGGTTTGGATGAGGCTTGCTGTGCTGTGTGTGCATGCCTTGTTGCACACAAACCTCAGACACTGTATGGTTTCTGAGGAAACCACATAGAAAATGCAGTAGTTTCAAATAGTTTTTCCTGTTAAACAAGGCTAAACACACTACATTCTTCTGAAGTTTGATTTTAAGCTCAGAGTAAACCTTAGGAGTACACGTAGCCTGACACAGAAAGAACAGAACACCCTGTCATGTGCCTTCCGTGGCCAAGCCAGGTTACACACAGCTCCTATTTAGGCACTAGCCCCAAAGTGGGGATTAGGCACAATAGGCTGTTGAACAGTCACTGGTGCAATCTGGAAAGTACCTCTCTTGCCCTGCTTCCCCCTTTTCTAAAAAAACCCATATGCTTATTTGTGCCTTGTAGGTGCCCTTGTAGTCAAGACGTAAGGATACATTTTGCCTTGAAGTGAGTTAGGAATGCTTTCTGCAGCTGCAGAGGCCCTAAAACTGCTGAGAGACACAGCCTGCATCTCCTTCAGAGCTTATTCAGAAGTCCAGCAACAATAGTGCTATTGTCAGAACAGGCAGCCCTTTCCCCAGCCACCTCATGTTAATAAGGGGCATGGGAGATCATTATGTGAAGAGCTGCACAGCCAACTGGCCATGACAGCTCACCCTGGCACACATGGGAGTGTGTGGGCACGAGAGCATGACTGCTTCTTTTAATGCTTCATCCCACCAAGGAGGACCCCGGCCTGGAAGCCTCTCAGCCTCACAGGTTGCAAGCCAGTGTGAAGGGCTTGGAGGCTGTGCTGAAGCAGAAGGTCCCTCTGACTGAGATGAGCAAGACAAGAGCATGTACTTACTGTCCCACAAGTAGGCCGCATGTAAGAGCAAATGTTTCCTCATAAGCCTGAACCCCACAAAAATATTTTACCAGCACTACAATAGGAGAGGAGAGATGACACTGTTAAGTAGACTTTGGGAAGGGAAGGGAAAGAAGGCATGTGATCACCACCTAAAGACTTTTGAGATATTAATAAAAGCTCTAAAGGTACCACCACTGCAACTGGGAACTACATTCTCCAGAGGAAGCCCTGTGAGAGAAGAGCTTCAGGACTGCAGTACTTCCAGCATTGGACTGCGAGGTTTAAAGGAATTACCTCTAGCTGCTTGTCCTAAAAACAGAACCCTGCCCTGGAAGGGTAAGAATGAGCACAATCTTCCTGCTGCGAAGGAATTTCCATGACTGGCAAGGAAAAGACAGTATCCTCACTCACTGCCAGTTGCAGCTGGCAAGAAGGGCGTAGATTCACAAGCAAGGACTTTTAGGCTTTCAGTTGTCCCTGTTACACATTTAAAAGGTCTCAAAGGTACCCTCTTTCCTTTCTTGCCTGCTGAAGAGAAGCCAGCTGTACTTCAGTTTTGTAGCTGCATTGCTGCTCTCCTAAAAGGATATAAATGTACAAAAGGAAAATATCACCATTTGGTAAAGTATTTTTAAACAATGAGAATTGGATTCCTCAGGGACAGTCTGGATGTTTGTTGTCAGCCAAATTCAAAGTTCCCAACAGGCATGAAAAGCTGTGGCCAAAATCTCTTGTTCATTGACTGCAGATTATGACCCTTATCAATAATTGACTTGGTCAGCAATGATAATGAAGTAAGCAAACACCTGAAATGGAAACATGCTTTTTTTCCTTCCTCTTCTTCTTCTTCACCCCCTCCTCCCCTGTCTCTGCCCCCTTCTCTTTGAAGTGAAAAGCTCTACAGCTCTGTGTATGAATAAAGAGAAATTAGAAGCAGCTTTCCTTGAGTATGTGGTATACTTATAACGCAGGTATCAGTGCTGGATAAGTGGGAAAAAAACAGGTGGAGAAAATCAGTCTGGTTCTTGGGCTGCTGTCTGTCATTTCTGTCTCAGCTCTGCTTCTGTGGTTGTGCAAATGAAACTTTTGCCTGGCATAGATGGCAAAATGCCAACTTAGAATCAATGTGCATATTTGAACTTCATTATGTTGCTTTCAAGAGGTTGCTCATGACCAAATTATTTAGGAAAAGGGACAGAGAAAGGTGCTGGGAAACCAGTAACAGAAAGCTATTTTTCCTACTGTTAGCCACTTCCCTAATTTAATACGAAATCTGATGGCAAACACCAGCAGTCAGTGATGCTTCTCATGGCAGTGGTGGTGTAAAACTAAGATCAAAACCAGTCCATTCCAGGCAACTCAACCTTTTGTGAGGCCTCTGCTGCCAGTGGGTAGTCAGAGGGTTTGTGCTGTGTATGAAGTGCACTCTCTAAGAAAGAACATGTGTATTTTAAGTAGTTTTTAAGAACTGTGCTATTGTATTTTTGCTGCAAACAGTCCTCCACGGTTTGCTGTTTGACATGGCTTTCTTTACTTACAGCTTGTTGTGTAACTGTAAAAACAGGTTTGAAATGAGCCAAGTTAATCTCTCCAGCAATCTGGAGCACTTTAATTTGTGCTTGGGTGGCTGGTCGCTCTGTCAGCTGTGGCAGCTGAACGTGTGGCAGCTTTTGTTGCTCGGAGTGCAACTTCCATCTCATGACACACTTGCTGAACAATGTTGCTAAAACTGTTTTCTCCTCACTCTCCCAGGTTGCCCCTCTACCTGGCTTCTCTTTTCATAAGTCTCCTCTTCCTCTTGGTGAATTTAACATGCGCAGTATTGGTGAGGACACAGAATTCAGAGAGAAAAGTCATTGTCTCTGTCCGGGTGGCAATTAATGACACGTTGTTTGTGCTGTGCGCTGTTTCACTCTCCATCTGCCTGTATAAGATTTCCAAGATGTCTTTAGCCAACATTTACTTGGAGTCCAAGGTAAGGTACATTTTCAGTTCTTTTCAAGTACCTTGTGAGAGATAAGGGCAGTGTCAGGCAAAGCCACACAGTTCTTCAGATCCCCTGAGAGCCGGAGGCCTTAAACGGCACGGCCTGTGCTTGGCTGGTGATCCTGCTCAATATGGAGATTAAATACTAAGTGCTAGCAAGGATGCCTTTGACTAACACCAGTGACCCCAAAATACGTAATTTTGAGGTAGAGATTACGAAACTTTTTAGTTGGCGTTTCTCACAGCTGTTTTTCAAGTAGATCTTTCTCCAGATCCCCTGTCTGAAGACCACTCCATTTCAGTACTGCTACACAGAAGTGATCTATACCTTGGAATCCTTCTGCTTGTCAAGCTATTGATGGATTAATTTAAATGTTTAAGGTGTCAGCATGCTAAACATAAGCCAGACAGAAGAATATGAATCTCCCTTTGTATATTTGCATATTGTCCTATAGATAATGAGAATATGTTTTTAAAAACTTACTGCATTATGAATTCATCCAAGTGAGGAGAGGGGGAAAAATGTCTCTCTTATTATTCTACAAAATGTTTTTTAAAGAAATATTGTTAGTTTTACAGCTTTGGACACATTAAGTGGTCAAGGTGTTGAGTGGCACCACACAAGACTGCAGTGTTTATTTTACAATGGGTGGGTTTTATTTTGAAATAATCAAACAGGGCTTTCAAAGGTCTTGTGTTTGTAGTAGATAATTAAATCTTAAAATAAATTATTAGTTTAACAAATCATGCATTACCTTTACCACAGTAAACCTTTCAAATATGTAACTTTCTGCTACTATTTAGAAAATATTGTAATAAAATTCCTCTCTCCTTTTACTTAGTCAGATGAAAGGAGTACTTTTCCTCTTAATCAAATCTGGCCGTGCTGCACAACAACAGAAAAGTTCAGGGCAGAATAGAAGATTTAAAAACACAGCTTAGTTTGTTTTGTTTCTTTCAAGCCTGTCACTTGCTGACCAAAGAGCATGGGCAATGGATTATTTTTACTAGTAAGAAAAGTTTTTCTACTGTTGCAAAGCACAGAAGCATAAATCTCTGTAACAAAGCGGTGTTAAGCAAAGGGAGGCTTTGGTAGATTACTTTGTTCCATTTCCTCCTCCTGCAGGAAATCTGATCTTCTTTACTTCAAGCTATTTCACAAAACCTAAACAAACTCTAGCATTATGACAGACAGAAAGGGACAGGACACAGCTGATGAAAGTTAGAGTGTGGAAATGAGAATTTAAGAACGCTTTGTTCCAATCTGCTGACCTGCAATAGGAGTTCCTCTGGGGACTTTCAGTAGGATTTGACTGCTCATACTTAGGGATGCAGATGGCTGGAGCTGGCAGTGAAAAAACATCGTGGTTTGATCTGCTACTGTTGTGGTGAAAAAGCTAGCTAAAGAAGAAAGATCCATTCTCTACAGCGACATGACAGAAGTAACGTTGGAGATAATAATCTCTGGAGTGCACAGAGATAGGCACCGGTACTGGCAGCTTTTTATTTGCATCTCCCATCTGGTGGGACATATCACCTGATCACGTGAAAATCCATTCACCTCCATGACCTGGCATGGGGGACCAGCCTGGTTCTCTGTGCCAAGGCTACAACAGCACCGAGGCGGTGCACAGCCCTGCCCCTAGGTGCTGACTTGGGCCAGACCTGTGCTGGCCAGAAGCACCGTGTAGTGGGACATGCTACAAACTCAGGGCTTCCCCTCTTTTCCGTAGGGGTCTGTGACTGAAAAAGGATTCCTCTGGTTTTACTTTTACTGCTGTGCTTTCCCTTCCTTAAGCCACTAAGTATATTTGTCTAGCAGCAACATCAGGACACTTTTCCCTCCTTTCTTTGTACTTGCTGAGATTCAAGTTTGTTAAATCTCTAGCATATTTAACTATTAACTATTAAAGAATGACAGCTATGTAGGGAAGCCTATACAGGGAAATACTGACCCAGTTCTGCTCTTCACTGCTGCTGCCTCCCAATCTGTAAATGCCACGGAGCTGGGATATGTGCCAGTCAGCAGCTTTTCTCTGCTCTCTCACGCTTGGTTTCCATGACAGCATCACTGACTTGCTGGTACTGAAGGAGAATAGAGAAGTACCTAGCAAACATTTCCTCTTTGTGGCATTTCCTGCTTGCTGATCTTGCCACAACTTTCACCACTGCCTGCTATGTCTCTGGCTTCAATGCGTGTGTAGCAGCAGGCTCTTGGCTCACTCCTGACATGGCTGCAGGTTATGGCCTGGTGAATAGTGGTAGCTTCAACGTCTTGTAAGCAGGAATTCTCTCAGAGAGGCTGACTGTACTGGGGAATTTGTAATACTCCTGAATCTGACTGTTCCCTGATATAATACTATTTTGCTGGGAAAACAGGCAAGCTAGTTTCCTGCAAGCTTTTCTCACTACTCCCTGAGCCTCTCTTCACTGACACTCACCAGGGAGTGCAGACTGAGGAGCGGGTTTGACAGAGCCACAGGGACAATAGCCAACATGGGCTAGCAGCAGAGGGGCCCTGGTAGTCTCCCGAAGGCCAGAGACATGGTGACATGGTGGCTCTCCCTGATACTTCACTAGCCATACTGTTATGTATGTACTCTACCTGCCACAGTGCTTTGGACCTCTGCTCCTTGGCTACAGACCTGGAAGCAGAGGGTGTGAGTGAAAAAAATAGAGCACAGACTTTCCTGTCTGCTGCACTAGTAGAAAAGGCCTTGTGTGGGGAGGAGCAGCTTCCCTCTTGGCTTCTCTTTCTCTCAGATAGATGAGAGAAGCCCATCCTAGTGGTGTGGGTCCCTGCCAGGAGAGGGAGAGGGCAAGGCTTGCAAAGCAAATGGCTGCAAGATATCTTGCTCCTCTAAAAGCACACAGAGCATTAACACACCTTTCTTCCCTTGGCTGTGCTGAGCACTATTTGTGAGCCAAATGCACAGAATTTATTTTGAGCTTCCTCTAAAGCTGGTCCCATTTTTGTAGATCTTCTTGCCTCTGTGGTCAGACTCACAGTGATCACTGTAGCCATGGCTCCTGGGGTCCTTCTTTTCTTGCTGCTAAAAATCCTGCACTGGTGTCTCAGCCCCCCACGGTGACCCTCCCCACTTGACACAGTGGTCAGGAATCTCACTTGTTCCTGACGCTGGATTAGGCTCTTTACCCTCTGTCCATTTTTCTCTCTAGGGCTTAGGAACTACTGTGATTTCACACTATGTAGTCTCATTCCTCCCCTCGTGCCTAAGCTGCCCCTCACAGACTGCCCAGCACGGTCACTCTGCCCGCGGGCCACGCTTCCACTTTGTCTCCTCTGTGTTGACATCAGCAAGGCAGGATGTTCTGTTCCTGTCTGTGCTGTGTTGAACTGCTGACTGTTATGATCTTCTCAGTACTTAGGAAATAGGTGCACAGCAAGCAGTTGTAAAAAGATGCAAGGTTGCACCACGCTAGCTAGCCAGCATCTGACACAGGATGCTCTGTAGCTCATGCACAGCTGAAGGCTGAATTCTCTTGCTGCATCTGATACCAAGTGTAGCTCTTCTGTTTTCATTGCTCTAAAAAATTTCACTTGTACAACAAGATGTGGGAATGAGTTGCAGCCCATCTTGGTAAGGATTGGAACTGCCATCACTGCCTGGAAAACACTGTGCTGATACAATATGGGAATATACACAGTGTAGGACATGCTAATCAAAGAAGGAAAGAGACAAAGTCAGTCACGCTAGACAGAGTAGCATGACAACCCTCAAAGTCCATGCAAAGCAACATTCTTCTCAACTTCCCCCATGAATAATAACCTGTGCTTAAATCTTTTCCAGGGCTCATCTGTCTGTCAGGTGACAAGTATAGGAGTGACTGTTATACTACTTTATACCTCACGAGCCTGTTACAACTTGTTCATCTTATCATTTTCCCAAACCAAGAAAGTAAATTCTTTTGATTACGACTGGTACAACGTATCAGATCAGGTAAGTACGAAAATATATGCTAATGAGAAAAACTTGTTCCATGTGTGATGGCTGATTTCCTAAATGTTATGACAAGAGGAATTAATATAATAAAAGCCTATTACTTTTTTTTTTTTTTTCTTTACTCAAGGGACTCCCAGAATACAAATTTCTGCTAATTTCAGTGTAAGGAGGAAAAAAACAACTCGGTGATAAATGAATAAGTAACCAATAGATAACTAATAATAATTTAACAAAACACAACCTGTTAATTTACCTTGATTGTATTGTTTTTAAAAAGTGCCTTTTACTAAAAAGACGGGTATTTTGTCCATTAGAAAAAATGTATTGTACTTGGAGAAGCAGAAAACCAGCACTTGGTGCCACTGAAATGCTCTGTTCTGAAGTCACCACCAAATCTCCCATTGCTATCCAGGGCTGTGGAGTTCTTTACCTTAATTCTGTCATTAGCATGATAACGTCTGTAGTTTGAGGATAAGACTCAGATTCTGCCCAATCTTTAACCGCAAGTGACAATTCAGATTGAAAAATAACAGTTGACTAAAAAAATAAAGGAAATAGGAGGGGACTCTGTTAAAGTTTATGAAATTTGGGCATCCACCTCCTTTCTCTGCTTTGAAGCATGTAATTATGTCCCAGTAGTTTTCCAGCTTGGTCAAGGCTAGGCAAAATGGCAGGCCTGTGTCTGGACCATGTTTTGTTTGGCCTCAAAATTCCAGACACCTGACATCTCCCCAACCTCTCAGGAGCACCTGCAGACCAGAAGCAGTGTTCCCAGCCACACAAGGGCCTCGCATTGCCAGGGTGGCCAAGCAAACCTGGAGCTATTTATAATTTTCTGCTGCGCAGTAGATAGAACTGTAAATAAAAAGTAGGTAAACAGTAGGGTAGGATTGCCCAGGGGACCTCATTAAGAATTAGTTGATTAGCGTCTGTCAGGGGACCCCTGATCAACCCTGTGGGGGTGGGGAGCAGAGGAGCGCGGCAAGGTGGCGCCAGTCCTTGTAATTAGAACATTCAAGTTTAGGCAGAGGGTCACTAGGTTGTCATTCATGTCCTGAACCAAACATATTCCCTCTTGTTGCTTGGGCCTGGTTGCTGACCACTCACAGGGGGCGCTTCTGGTATTGACTCCTACCGTCTGGAGTAACAGGAGCTGGAACTTCATGGCCACAATATTTGGTCCTGTTTTCCCCATGGAGGCAGAGGTTGTTCATAGGGAGCTCACTGGAAGGCTTTAGGCCTTAGGTCACTACTACTCATCTTTTAACATCTGGCCTAACTTGTGACATTAAGGTTGACTGGATTTTGGTGTAAATTATTTGAGACCTATATAAAGGGCCTGGAACTAAGGAACAGGTACTCGATTTGGTGCCAGAATCCAACGTCACTTTTGAAAGTACAGCCCAATGTTTGTACTGTGGGACTGCATCAGGACACTTGTCAGAAACATTACTCTCTCCTTCTGTACAAAACACAAGAAAAGACAGGATTTGCCCTCTGCAGCTATGTTGAATGCTAGAGGGGAAATCCAGAGAGTTCAAAGCATGGATATTCAAGCTATCAATGTGCACCAATTTGAAGGAATCCAAGCCTTAATTTTTAAAAGCCAGATTGCCAGTAATGCCCTTGAAGACCTGGGCATGGATTGTTAGTTTAAGTATTATTCTCACCTGGAAAAGAACTGCAAAACTAGTTTCTCATTACATGGATTTAATCACTTGATCAAATGGTTGCTTGCTAGGCTCTGAGACTGGAAAGACCCCTGCATTAAACTTTGATTTTGTTGATGGAAAGCTAGCAGGTGAAGGAGGAGGAAGGAGAAAAGGTAGAAGGAAAGGGAAGTCACATACCCAACAAGACAGCATATTGATTTTCTTTGTATGCCTTTAATCATTAGCCAGGCTAACCTGGCTTTATTAAATGGAACCTCTGGTCATGTCAAGTATTTCAGCAACTTATAGAACTTCATAAGAAGGTGTTGCCTCCTGCACTTTTAAATGAGCTGCCATTTTTATTTTTAAACACTTTTTTTCTTTGACTTTTCAACAGGCAGATCTGAAATGTCAGCTGGGAGATGCAGGTTACATAGTGTTTGGAGTGATCCTTTTCATCTGGGAGCTCTTGCCTACTTCCTTGGTTGTGTATTTCTTCCGTGTCCGAAACCCTACAAAAGATCTAGTAGGTGGAATCTGTCAGTGTATTTGTCAGCATAATGTCCAGGCAGGTCTGGAGGGCTCAGCCACTGAAGGTGCTTTTGCTTCTTTACACGTTGATTTCTCTTTTTCAGTGTGTCCTTGACAGAATAAAAGCAATTGAAAATTCCCAATTACTTATACTAAGTCCTCATGAAAGAAACTCACCGTATTTACCCAGAGGAAGACAAGGTGTTTCTCAGGCAGTTTACCTTAAAAAAATGGGAACCTTCTTAAATTTAAGAACATCTTCCCTTTGAGTTAATACAGTACTTTACTGAAGTCAGTGGAAAAGGAGTTTGTTATCCAAACTTGGGGTCTTTCATCAGATAGCAGTGACAATGGTTGTGTGTTAACTGTTGAATGGTGTGTATGAAATAATAGATGGAACATTTTCAGCCCTGTACCCATTGAATTGTTTCCATGTCAACGGCCAATAGCCATCCTAAGCACTTTCTGGCATTTTTGTTTGTTCTTTCAGCAGAGCAGAAATTCAGGTGTGAATTTTAAGGATAATTCCATGTACGTATCCTTAATATCTAGGCAGTTAATAGGTGGATAATCATCCTTTTATAGCTGTAGGCAACGCCTCCAGGTTAGCACAGGATATTCTGGCTGACAGCTACCCGGGGAATACCAGCCCTGCACTAGGATTACCAAGAGAATGCCTCTGTCTCTGTAGGCCAAGCCAAAGGTGATACTCCTCAAGGAGGATGTGAATGGTAAATTCACAAGTAAGAGAAGCAACTAATAGAAGTTTTTAGAGAAGGTGATGGTTTTTATTCTGACGTGTAGATTTCAGAGAAAACGATAAAGCCAAGCTGAACAAAGAAGTAATACCTGACATCACTTTAAGAAACACCATGGACCCCAGTGCCCACCATGAGAAAAATCTCAGCCTCACTCCTGCTTAGGAGTTAGTGAGGACAACTTCAAAGAGAAGAGGTGTTTTAAAGCACAGCCCAGTGGTGCTGCTCTTCTAAAAAGTGACCACAGAGAGTCCTCATTTTATATAAAGCAAGTTTAGTGGGGGTAGTGAAGTTTGGATGGTGTGGGAGAGACTCACAAGAGAATGAAAATAAGAGATGTGGTCTAATCTGTCAAAAAGCTGATCACGAGGAGAACTGGAATCCTTCTCCCACAAGAACTCAAATGGAGTCAAACAGGCCGCATTCTCTCACAAGACAAAGCACTGCAGGAACACATATAACATTGTATTTTCACACTGTGATGTCCAGAACACCTTAAATCTCCATCTTCATAAAGATACAGTTCAGAAGAGCCAATCAGTGGTGCCACTTCTTTTATGGGCACCTTTTCTGGGGTAGACATTATCTATCATAGTGCATAGGCCATATAACGATTTTTTTCTACACAAGATAAATATTTATGCCAAAAAGAGGAAACCTGGAAACATTAGAAAGGAACAACAACAAAAGAGAAGACTCTAGCAAGGCAGAATTGCACTTCAGTGCAAGTGTGCCACGAGAGGGAGATGAAGGGCCACAGGACTTTCGTCTAAGGTGTTTAGTGTGGTAACCTACAGCAGTTAAGTACCAACTGGTCCAGGGGTTGAAAATAGTTGGTCAGGAAGTATGGTGTTAGAACAGAAACAGACTTTCTTTTAGTTACAAAAATCTTAACAACTCTGATCTAGTACAAACCAAAATGTTCTTTCTTTTTAATAAGGAACAATCCCAAGAAATAGTAGTTGTTTGGTTTTACATTTCATTCAGGACTTCAGAAGCAAAAAAGTTTGAGTAGAGGCAGCTTGTGTCCAGCACTGTTCAAATTTAAAACCCCACAGATGATTATAGCCTGGAACGAGCTGTCTGTCTGCTCTGGTGCTGACATGGGGTGTCTTGGTCCTTTGCCTTGCCATACCTTCAGCCAGACAAATGTTGGAAATAGGCAGATGACTGAAAAGGGCCTATTTTTACTTCATCTTTGTCAAAGGTATTTAACATCTAGGAAATAGCAGAAGATTAAACTGCTCTCCTGCTTAAGGCCAAGGAGATACCATCCTGGCTTATCCACAGGTGCAGGGAGCCCTGTTCCCTGGGGATGGAAGCATTTGATCAGTGGAAGAGGCTCAGCTAGGTTCTACATGTCCCTCTGCACCATTTCCAGAACCAAACTGACCTTCTGAATCTTCTGTGTTTTCTGTTTTGATTCATAAGGAAATAAAAACAAAATTCTTTGTAAATTGAGTTACATGTACATCTCTTTCACTGTTTTATCAAGGCACTTTTCCTTGGGATTTGACCCTCACAGCACTGTAGGGTAGATACTAAAATTGCTCAGAGAGGTCCCGAGGGGCTTTTCAGCTGTTGTTTCATTAAGCAGGGTGCCATGATTCAGCATGATCAGCTCCTGAGGCAAGGGAGGTGACACACCTGGAGGGAGGGTCACAAATGTGGGAGGGTAAAACCAAATCTTTTTTGGCATCTCACACCCTTCAGCTCCTCAGCTGCTTCCCTACTGCTCACCTCAGGTCAGCTGGCTGCTAAAAGCACAAAGTGTCCAGGATGGACAGGATTTCAGCAGGCAGATTAAATGCACACTGGAGGGTGGTTTCAGAAATGGGTTGTAGCTGTTAGTGAGAAGGAGGGAAAAGGAAAAGTCATTAATATCAGTAGACTATCACTACACTGGTAGAGAAAAACAGAAAACATGAAAATATATATTGTCTACAGCAAACGCAGCATTGCCTGGTTTATTTTGGAAGCCAGGAGGTAAGCCTGCAGTGACTACTTTGAGAAGTCAAGCACTTATTGATCTGTTTCAAGTACTGACGGAGGTTTCCCTCTCCTCAGGGCAGCGCCGGCATGGTCCCAAGCCACGGCTTCAGCCCCAGATCTTATTTCTTCGACAACCCTCGCAGATACGACAGCGACGACGACCTGGCGTGGAATGTTGCACCACAGGGGGCACAGGGCAGGTGAGAGACACCAGGGAACTGCTCGCTTCCCGTAACAGAAACTGGAGGAGGAAGAACTCTCTCACACTGCAGAAGACCAATGTAAATTGTCTAGCTCAATTGCTGCATCATTTCCAGAGGGTTCAGGGAAGCTAAAGAGGAAAGGCAGCACCAAGTAAATGTAAGGATCTAAGGGCCCCACAGAGACTACAAGGACACAAGAATGAAAACAGTTACATAATTTAAGCATTGTTAACAGTATTCCTCTCTCTGAAAAACTCAGGTCAGATCTTTGGCTTGCATGTTTCACCCGGTGAAACAAGAGTGCCCTAAGAAGTGCCATTTACTAGTTGGAAGCGTGTGAACAAGGCAACCCAGAAAGCCAGCTGTCTCCCTGCCTTCAGGGAGAGCAGGGGAAAGCTTGCCAGCACAGGCAGGACCTTGCAAGGGCAGTTATGAGCAGCTTCTCAACTTACGTTGCGCTGTAACGCGTCTAAATGTCTTGGGGTTCACCTAAAATGAAAGGGGCATTTGCTTTCCCACTTGTTGAGAGCTTACCAAACAACCCAGAACTAGCACAAAAAGCCCATTCTCTCTGTGCAACGGTGAGCTTAGGTGAGGATTCCCTTCCAGGAAGGAGCAGTTCACAGCAAGAAAGACAGCACCCAGTTCAGAGAAGGGAAGGAGCTGCCAGGACACAGTCCTGCCCTGAAAGGAGCCTCAGTCGCGTGTTACTCACACACTGCTCCTGTACCTACGCTGCACTTGCATTAGATGAGCGTAATTGGTCATCTTAAAACAAAGGCTAACTTGCTAACTGTAGATTAACATACCCAGATCTAGCTCACTCCTTTAGCTCTTAGCTATGCTGCCACTGATCAGTGAAGTTGGCTATTCACCATTTACAGTTACCAGTCACCTTAGTCTTGTGTCTTTCACACAGTACCTAAAGCCACTGAGGGTGCTGGAGGTGGTTGGTGCCCGGCTGGTACCCAGCCTAGAGCCAGAGGCACCCCCCTTTCTGCACAGGGGCATGACGGAACCATCCAGGCTGGTAACCCAGGCAGGAACCAGCCATCTGCCTTGTCTCACACTGCTTGTGGAAACAAAGCCAGCACACCAGAGCTGCTGACCAAGTACTGGGCCCTTGCACATGGATACAGGAGGTTTAGGTCTGTCACTGATAGGCCCTTAGAGTGACAGGATGCAGCAAGGATTAGCAGCACCCCCTCTAGAGTTTTCAAGCACCTTCTGGATTAGCAGTTCAGACAGGTGAGGGTCTTTCATGAACTAAAACAATCAGGAAACAGATAATGAGTTAAGCACATTTGGGCCAAAATAACTAACAGATCATAAAAATAAATACCAGCTCGAACCCCTGGCTGGGGTTTTATTTTGCACGTCAGTGCGAGGGATACCTCTCTGCGATTGCATTTTGCCCACAGTCACTAACCGGGTATCTATGGAACCACCTGCCAATCACTACTTCCTCTGTTTTCTCTTTAAGTTTTTCTCCAGACTACTACGACTGGGGCCACCACAACAACAGTTTCACAGCTTACATAGGATCCCTCCAACAAGATCCAGCACTGGACACAGACCGGCCAAGCCCTATATAACTTCAGTCAACTGCAGCTTTCTAGGACATTCCAATATTAAAACAAATGTTCTGAAAAACAAAGCTTACCAATTTTTCTTCACATTTTGGTTTTTAGAAGTGTACCTATGCACAGATAAATGAAGAACTTGTCTTTGCCACAAGCTTTTCATAGTCCAAGGAGAAGTATATAAGCTAATGATTTAAATGTTGAAGACTGTTCTCATTAATACCTTGTTCTAAGCCACAGTATTTTTGGCTTTGAATAGAGTTGTTAGAGGATATAATTTAATCAATTTATGCTCATTTTAAAAGAGCAAATTTCATGAAGTGAAATGGCATAATTATTTTCTAAGTATTTTTATTTTTACACTGTGTGTTAGGTTAGAAATACAAGATTATGATGAATATACTGTAAACACATGAATGGGTTGTTCAAATGTGTGACAGTAATGATTCTTATGTGCACATAAAAACCTGTAAGGGAAAAATATCAACCCGATTAAATATCGTCTTTTCAAGTTATTGCTACATTCTCAGAGCACAATTTACTCTTTGGATTTTCACTGCTTACTCAATGTGGCAAGGTGGTTGGAGGCTCAAAGTAATCTGTACTCCAGTTATGATCTCAAAACATGCTGCATTCTCCTAAGGAAGCAGGAAAATTGTATCTTCTCTGCAGCTACAGGGAGCCTCAGAACAGCAGAGATGGGTGTCTGCTTTGGAGCAAACTCTTCATTGCGAGCTGCAAAGCAAGCTGAAAATTTGTCAGTTCAAAAAATTAGTGTTACATGATCATCTCTGTCAATAGGTTCTAGGTGTGTTACGTAGAAGAGCGCATCATCTAGCCACGGAGATAGCTGTGTATAACAGTATTTATTCATTAAAGACCTAGGAAGTGCAATCTGGGAATAGAACAAGAGCCAGCAATGTCTAAAGTAGAAAAACCTCAAGCGGACCTAGAGGATAAATACTGCGGAACTAGCAGGTCGTCAGCAAAGCTGTGCTTCAGCCTCTTATGTTCAGGGATAAATCTGGCATTTTGTGGTGGAAATGGTGTATAAATTACATTCTAATATGTGACATTTGCACATAGCAAGCCTAGAAGTAATTTAATATTATCTAAGGTGAGCAGGAACCCTAACTCTACTTCAGATCTCTTTATTGTGCCCAGTTCTGGCTGGTATGATCTACTGTGAACTCTGCACTCCCAGCCTCTCTTTCTCCTTCCCACATAAAACAAATACTGTAATTCGATTCACATTTCCCTAGGAGAAAAACACATGTCTTACAGTAACCTTCACCTCTATAAAAGTAGTTAATTTTGGGATGTACTACAGCATCCCCACATGGTAGACAGGCTTTGTGTTTTCCTCATACTCAACACTTCTTCAGGAAGTACAAGAAGCAGAGAATTCTTGTATACATTTCACACAGGATATACAGAACAAAAAAAAAAAAAAAAAAAGGGATAAGGAGCAGATCTGATCAGGTCTGCTTGGAAGCCAAGAGCACACATGCCAAGTCTTTCACAGAGTCTTTGTTTCTGGGGAAGATCAAAGCATGAGCCCTGCCACTGGCAGAATCTCAGTACAGCCTGTGAACTGTCTGCCCTCCAAAGCTTCCATTAGCCTCATCAATTCTTCCCCAAAGTTCACTGAAGAAAAAAAAGCCAATTAAACTATCAACCAGAGATTAAAAAGAAAAGGTACCACGGGGTTGGGAGAAGAATAGAAATTTTATTACAAACCCTATGGTGTTCTACATTCATGTTTATACAAAACTGCCTGAAGACCTAACACAAGAAAAGTCTGCAGGAATTACATTTTCTTCACAGTAGATAGAGCTGCACAGCAAAAATTTGATTATGAAAATTCTGCTTTTAAAACAAGCTTAATGCCTACACCATGGCATGCATGCAAAAAAGTGGAATGCCAAATGACTATAACCAATCATAGTAATGAATTAAATACTCTCAAACACAGATTTAAACAGTAATGTGAAAGGTAACATCTTAAATTAAAACACTATAGTTATCACCTGTGTAACAGGTACATACCCACCTCAACCAGGGATGAAATACGTGTATCAAAGTTTTAGTAAGATAATTTGTTAAAAATGCATACACAGAATAGAAAACAGAGAGCTACAGAAACCCTTTAAGGGAAATCGTGTCACATGAAGAGCCCAGAGGGTGTACCAACCAGAAAAAATATTTACAAAATTGATTTTATAAGCTATTCTGAGAAAGGAACAGAACAGACCAAATTTCAACTCAAAATAAGCTTTTTTGCCTCTTTAAACAATTGGACTTAAACAGTGATCTGGCTGTATTCATACAGAAACATGCTGTAATCCTGCTACGTGCATTTCTGATGTGCTGGCTGCCACCAACACACTGTAAATGGCAAGAGATACTCAGGTTACATTCATCTTTTGAACAGAACTGAAGTGCCAATGAAAGCCAGCTCATCATCTTAAGCTTAAATGACGTGTAAATAATTTAAGTTATATAATTTCTACCAAGCGTAGTTGAAAGGTAAATGAAAAATAATAATTAAAAAAATCTACATAAACCCCCCCAAAAATAACATTCACAAAAAGAAGTTGTAGCAGAAAATACTTTAATTTGCATTTTATAGATTCAAACATAGCAAAGATTCAGTATTGTTTAGATCCCAGTAAGCAGTTCCAACATTGATTTGGATTTTAATAAATATTACATTTTAATAGGCTAGCTACATGGAGGAGTTGTAAAAGGATGAATTGCTGATTGCTACTTTGTAAATGTAAGCATCTAGATTATTTACAACATATTACAAGTTGTTTCCCAGAAAAGCACAAAGCAAGGTCAGATAAAGGTGACGCGGCCATCAAAACACAACTCAAGAAAGTGTGGCACAGTGTATTTCAAGGATGTACAGTGACTGACAGCACAAGTCATCAGCTGAAGCGAAGCAGGAAAACACTTCCGCTACTCCCACTTACGCAAGTCTCTGTATTCCACTGGTTCAAATCTATATTCTCACCTTCTTCCTCAGGCACCGAGGAGCAAGCTGTTCAGCAACAGCACCCTACATTTTACCTACACAGTGTGCACCAAGCCTTATTTCATGTAAATCTTGATGACTTGGGAAAAACAAAATATGTGTCTTTGCCTTCTCACTACTTCTGGGATTACAATCATTGTGTCACTTGTACAGGGAAATGTACTTAGACTTTGAAATGAATGACAGAAAATGTTGACAAGCTGATGTCCGACAGCGAGCTGGAATTTAAAACAGTTTACAGGTCACAGACAGTGTAACTAACCTTATTTTTTAGTATCAAAACAGTTCTGTAAATTTCTAAAATTTAACATATAAAGAACTAAGTCATCCGACTCACGTGGAAAAACTTCATAGGCAGCATTGTCACAGAATGTACATCAAATACAGTAAAAAAGATGGTGACAGGAAAGCTGTTCCAACTAGATTTGTAACCACAAAAGTCATGTCCTATTTCTACAAAGACAGTGAAGTGAAAGTTCTTGCACATTTGATCACCAAGCGAGATGTACCTTCAAATGCAACAGAACGTCCCCGTCCGCAGAATTTGCTGTTCAGCTGCATTCCTGTGTTTTCATGACAGAAAGGAAAGGAAGAAAAGCTTCCCATCTCTTACCCAGCAGCATTAACCTTGCCTGCGTCGTGCCAGTGCGGGTTGCAAGGAGCAGGTGTCCAGGATGTGTGTGCCTGAATCTCTCATCTGCCCCATGAAGAAGCGCAGGATGCTAGTATGTGATGCTGCTTCCGTGTCTGTAGATTTTAGCCAGGCACAGGTGGAAAAAAAAAAAAAAAATAGCAAGCTGCATCCCCAGAAGAAGGTTGGAAGCAATTCCTTTTTCCCATAAAGCATGGGGCAAAAGGGAAGAAACAATTCTGAGACTCAGGTCCTTCCTGGGGCAGCGCTAATAACTTTTTTTTTTTAACTAGAAAATCCTGCCTAAAGCTTTAGGCACTATAATATGTAACAATGATGATAAATCCCAGCTATACAGTATTCCTCACACAAGTGAGCCTAAAGGTTCTAGCCCTTGTAGGTCAATCCAAAAGGCAAGAAATTAATGGTCAACTGAACAACCCACGCTCCTTCAGTATGTACAACTACTCAGAAGAGTAAGATACTCCAGGTGTAACTCATTCACCAAACAGCTCTTCACAACTGAGCTAGTTGCCTAGATTCCCACTTCAATTCAGTGGAGAAAAATAAACTCTAGGGTGCAAATACAGAGCTTGGAATAGGCCAGGTACATCCACCGAGAAACCACCTGCTCTCCTCCATTAACTAGAAGAAGGAAGCCCATGGTGACTTGCTCAGACACAGGTGCCCCTAGGCAAAAGAGGCTGCTAGGTAAAAGCATAGTATCTCCAGACTGGCATCAGCTTTCTCTGAAGCCACATGAAATTATCTACTGGCTTAAATAGGAACTTCTGACTGGATACCAGGTCACTGCTGATTTGTCCACCTATCACCAAAACTGTGTGTGAGGTTGTTGTTTGGGTTGTTATTTTTTGTTGTTGGGCTGGTGTGGGTTTGGGCTTTTTTTTTTTTTTTAAATATTTCCCCCCCCCGCTTTTCTCTTTTCCCCCTTTCATTTAGCTTACCCAAGACTCAAGAAAGTTACTTTCTTGAGAAACAGTATTTTTCAGTAATAGCAAGTGTCAGCAGGACAGTATACCTCATTTCCAGTCAGGTAGAAATTTGAGGCTTGTCTGGAAACAAAGGACCTAAGAGTGTATTCCAGCCTTCAGAAAATCTCAGCTGCAAAGGACCACATTACATAAGCCAATACAGTTACAATCAATTATATAAACACATCACTAAATTACCAGTAGGGTGAAAAATGTTTAAGAGCACTTTATTTTGTGAAGATTTATTTTTAAATACAAGAGATATCTACACTGTACCAGCACTTCTTACATTCATAACTCTTAACTTCACTTTGAAACATGCTGGTTTAAAAAAAAAAAAATTACTTCATTTTAAATTTAAACCAATATTTGGTTGCTACTAATCAGTAGTACTGTTTCTGAATTCTGTTTTAGACAATGGTAAGTTATCATTGACAGTTGTGGACAGTGATACGTGAATAATTTCCTAGTTAATGAAAGTTATGTTATTAACATACCCGTTTCTTTATGCTGAATGTCCTTTTAAAGAAGATACAGTTAGGGCTTGCATAGGTAAGAGTATGTGGCATTAAATGTTGGTAAGATTATTAATTTTAAAAAACATTTTTTTTTTTTAAAGTGACTACAAAAAACAAGTTCTGACTTTTTTCACTCATCTTTTAACATAGCACTAAAACATAACTCGTAAAGAGCAAATCTATTTCCACAGCTCAAAGATTGAAAGTGTGCTATGTTAACATTTTAGGCATTAGAAAGAATTTCTGGAGACAGAGTTTGTGATTACAATCTAGAAAGTAAAATGGAGTAAATGTGAATTTGACTAAGGCTTTTCAGCTAGCAGCACTCCACTAACCATCTCCCCCTGCCCTGACCTCCATGTCCAAGCAAATGCAGGCAGCCAAGGAGGCCACAGAAAAGTCCCTTCCAACTGTGCTGCATCAGACACAAGGTAGTTATTTTAAAGAAAAGATGAAATTCTGAAAAGTAGCATATAAGGAAAAAAAGAATTTGATATCAGCATGATGGAAAGGAGCTCAGTATGAAATCAAATTTTCTGTTCAATAAATTTCCTATTTTTAATACATTTCACATTATTACAGTAAGAAGTTGGAACTCAACCAGAGCCTTATTTCCTTTTAGACAGTCATAGTCAGCATATCCAATCCTCAGAAAATACTGAAAGTCTCTACTGGGGAGAGGTAAGAGCTGAAGCACCTCTCTCAGGAAAGGCCAAGTGAAGGTGGAGATACATATGCTTTCAAATAAAACAACCGCCTCAGAAAGACAAGGAAATAAGAGAATTTATGAGGTTTCAGTACAACAGAACTGTGAGCAGAGAACTTAAAAAGTAAACAGATCAGCATAATTTACACATTTTAAAACTATATATTTCATTCATAAATATCTTTTCTAATTAATAACCATTCCTAATATAACCATAAATATTCAAGTTGGTACTTGATTTTACTTTTTATCAGTTCATGTGAGTCCTGTAAGGATCAGTTCCTTCTGCCCAATGCAGTCATGTAAATGGTCTTCACTAATGGGTTGTGCAAAGGCCTTCATTACCTAGTTTGTTGTAATAAAACTTTAAAATTCTGCAACTCTCTTATACTTGTTGAAAGCCTGTAAAACAAAAAACCTGCAAGTGTTAGCAAGTCAACTGCAGAAGAGAAACGCAAATCACCACCTTCTAGTGGAGCTTTTAATTTATTTTTTTCTTTAAACACAATTCTGTTCCAAAGATAAACGTCCTTAAGATACTACTTTCCCTGAGAAGATCTATTCTCTGACTCTCCATTATATTTACATAATACATTACAGGAAATAAAGATTTTATATATATGTTTAATTGTCCCAACTTCATTAAACATCTAAAAATATCTAACCAGAGGCAACAATTTTTAACAGAAAGAGATTGTTATATCCAAGATCTGAAGAATTAACATGATGAACAAAGCAAGTTCTAAACAACTTTTAAGGCTGATGTTTCACTTCATCACTTGAATGAGGTAAATTCAGTTAATCAAAACTGAAGTTTTAACAAAAATAATCACATCATGGACAAAAATCCAAAAGCCTAATGGCCAAATGACAGTGTTAAAAAAAATCTCCAAGTATTTTTCTTCCTTCTCACTGATTTTTACATGTATAAATTTAAAACAGGACAAAATTTTGAATGCTGACTACGGCTGTTCTACAAGGAGGGGACTTACTCAAAGTCTAATGTTTACAACTGTTTCAAATACTTGCATCCAGCTTTCCCAAGATGGAATTTGAGATAACATAGAATGATGACCAAGGTTAACAGTCAACACGCCACATACTCAGTTTGATGGCATTACGTTTATCAGTATCACTATCAGTAATTCAGCCTTTAAAAAGCTACAGCTACATGTACACTAACGCCTTTCAACAGACCTTGAGTGTTGACACTTATGTTTTATGTGTTTTCTACTGTAGAAATAGTAAAAACTTACCTTCCAAAGGCATTTACAAGAGCAACTATTTCTTGACGTGTGAGCTGAAAACCTTTTGATGGGCTATGCTCAGGGAGGCTCTGTATTTCTTTCTCAGAAAACAAAATCTTCAGAGCAGTTCCTAAGCCTTGAGTCTACAAAAAAAAGTCCAGCGTTTTAATGTCAATGAGATCAGTCCTTCAAATACTCAGAAAACTAACAAAGTAAAAATTACTAATCCAGGCAACGGTAGTACCAGTTATTATATATTGACACACCCTCAACCCAACTGTACCCAAACCCGGACACTAATGCAAACACATGCCATCAATTGCCTATCAGGTTCAGTCACTTATTTCAAAACATTTCTTTCCTCAGGTAAACTTGGTCTTTTATTTTTTAAATCTCCTCCTTTCCCATCTTGTTTCTTCTCAGCCACAGCAGATGGACATGAAAATAGGTCTGTTACAACACTTCCAGCTCCCTTCTGCCCCTTACCTTACAGCTGCCCCACTGCTGCAAGAGCTGATGGATCAGATCTCCCCTTTTCCTCTCCCCTGCCTCTTCAAAGTCAAACTAAGTTTTATTATGAGGTATCAGAACATTTCTGCTTTCTCCACCTCCAGTCCCAGCGACAGACATTATCGTTCCAGTTTTAACCTCTATTTTCTATACAGCAATGGAACAGAAGAAGCTTTTTTCCTTTTAGATCAGGCTACAAAAACAACCACTGGATTCTGACAAAAAGTGGTTGAGGCTGGCTGCAAGAGGATTTTATAGGTCAGGAAATCCAGCCCTACTTCATTTTGTGTGAGAAGGAAAAAACAACAAGAGATCAGAAACATGAACGAGGACAGGGTAGGAAGAACTTGGGAAATTCAGTGGAGACCACTAAATTTTTTATGTTATCAATTTTTTTGAAAACCAAACTCTGATAAGCTTAATGCTATACAGCATTATAGTACTTTAGGCACCCCAAAGTAATAACTATTCTCAGCCTAGACTTAACATTAGTCTTGAGGTTTAAAATGTTCTTCATAATAAAAGAAAAATACTAAGTGTATAGAAAAAGTGTTTTTCAGCTTCCAGCTTTACTGTGCACCTCTGCATTCATTTGCTGCCTTCTGCACAAACTGTGGAAATCTGAATTACTGCTTCTTATTCTTCAACTTGGGGAGTTAAATCTCACACTGGATTTTCGAACAGTTAGGCAAATGCTGTATTTGCAGGAAGGCTTCCCACAGGTGATTCTACAAGGGTCATCTGATCATCTAACACAGATAAGATATTGACTGGCAATAAGACTTACTGAAATGCTTATCTTCTAACCTCCCCCTGCTTGCCACACTGACACACACTCACACAACGAAGTGTACCTGCAATTTGCCCCACAGCCGGCATTTGTCGCATCCAACACAATCCATTATGCGGGATATGTTCTTGAAATGTAACCTGAATTCTTCCTATCAGTTAAAAACGAAATAAAAGAGGTTAACCTTCTAGCTTTACAAAACCAGAAGGTAAACTAATCTAGTATCTCCAGAATTTCATTTCTCTTAATAAAACTGAACAAAAGCACCACCTTACGTGGTCAGGCCTTAAAGTGCTGCATAAACCCAGAATCTTACTTTTAAGACACTGCTAACAGTTACTTTCCCAAAAAAACTCCAAAAATACAATACATGCAGGGTAACACTTGCATTCTGTACACTGAATTTCTACCCACTTTCTCAGCATTTTCTGAGCTGTAAGCCCTGTATCTGTGTCCTTTCCCAATTTTATTTCCATTATTCAAATCCCTTTTGACCCAACCTACCTTTTTAACAAACAGGCAAACAAATTACAATTCATAAAAGACATTTTCTGTCCAAGGCTATAGTTAAATTGTTGCTTTGCAGCTTCAGTCAGAGTGGAAGCAAGCACAGCACAGAAGTAATTAAGATGATCTCATTTAAATATTTAAGGTCAGAAAAACAGCAGCTGGGCCAAAAAAACCCCACTGGCATGTTTCCAATAGAATTCTTTCTAATGCTGATGAAATTGCATACTACCACTGAAATAAGTATTAAAAGTGTTAGTAAGTATTAAAACAGACCTTTATTACTGAGCCACACACCAAGCGTAGAATTGTGCATGCCAGACTGAACACCAGCATGTTAACACTGGAAGTTGTCAGGTAGTAAAAGCATTCACAGAAGGTTCCCATATCTAGGAGCTACGTTTTCCTAACGTTAAGTATAATACTATATCATGTTATATTATACTGTATAAGCCATCTGTTTTTTAAGCAAACATCACTGTTTGGGTTTTTGTTTTTTTTTTTTTTTTTTTCTTTTTCAGATACTTATGTGAAATATGTACTATATTTAAAGAACACCATTGCATCTACTGGCAATTCAACTCATTTGCCTCACCACAGTCCTGATGATAGACCCAAGGCACTAAACCAGAGATTTCAGTTTGCTTGGCTCAGGACAATGCTTCGTATTAATTTACTGTAAAGTTGATTAAGAAGCCTTAGATATAATTCTGTAAGATTTATCCCTGCCTCCTCCTACTCACAGCAGTATCCTTCTGGTAGGTAGAAAGGTCTTCTAAAACAACACAACTTAATCAAAATGGGTATTTTGGATGTCACTCAGAAAACAAGCTTTACCTTTAAGGACTTGGCTCCTTTTTTATCTCCAGCAAACATGGATTTTTCATCAAAGTGCATATGGAAAGACCTAATAAAGACAAAACCAAAAAAAAAACAAAAAAAAAAACACCAACAAACCCAAACACTGGCATAAAGTAGTGTTCCATCAGACAGCTGATGCCACCAGTGTAAAATACTTTTCAGAGTTTCCAGTCTTTGCACAGTAGCTCTGAATGGTATCAGTTTTACTACTCCATAACTGTAGCTTGAAATTTGTTATTTATAGTTTTGTTGAGCATTTTCTTCATTTCCACTGATCAAGTTTTCTAATATACACTTAAATTGCCTTAACATTTGCCTTTCAGTCAATTGTCATCTGACTACATCTCACACACCCAGGCAAGACTATGATGAGGGACAGCAATGAAGCCACACAGGATGTTAACAATCACAAGAATTATCAAGAAAGTGAGCAAAGGAACTGAACTACAGAACCACACAGAGTGTAAACAGAAGGAAGAAAGGATGGTTTAAACCCCAGAAGTTAAGTCCATGATAAAAGCTGGACTACTCCCTGGATTGTTACAAGAATACATGTGCTCTTCCCCTTTTCAAAATCTATCATGTGCCTCTTATACTGAAGAATCAGAGAAAGCACCAAATCAGAAGTAACTCATGGTATCATTTTTTTTTCCTTGTGTTTATTTATTATGTTGTTTGTTTGTTTGTTTCAATTTTTGGTTTGTTTTTTTGAAGACAGGTACATTCAAACCTCCAAATTATTGATCTCTTCTCATCAAATGTACAAACTGCTCATTCCCTCCCATTACTTAATTCTATTTCTTCAATCCATTCTATCTTGCCCTATCCTATCAAGATGTCATCTATTCTCACTTGTGAACATAACTTAACATCACACTATTGATAAAAAAAAAAACAATGCCTTACTTTGTATCCCTGAAGATATCTAGTAAGAGAGCTTTAGATTCAGCATCCTCGTGGCCATTTCCAGTGTAAAGGTCAACAACAGAACGCTCGAAGTATGGGGCAACCTTTGATAAAGCACGCAGCTCTATCAAATATAAGAAATACAAATTTTTGAGCCTTCTTGGTCCTTCTCCTTTTGTTTCAATAGGGTCAAAGCGGCGAGTGAACTCTTTCACATTGGGTCCCCAGCGAGGTTTTCCCCAGGTTTCTGCACAGAGGGGAAAAATAGGGACAGGGGGAATAAAGTATACATGTTTAGAAAAATAAAGCAACTAAGTATACACCAAAACTTTTCAGAAAAAAATACATGTTACAGATATTGTAAAATTCCATTTAGCAATTTGACTTAAATTACCTTCAAGAAGATAATTTGCACACAGATGCAAGTTGATGCTAGCATGAAGTCCAGAAATTAGTTTATAAAACACTCTTTTCTCAAGGCAAAGACCTGTCCAGGGAAAAAAGACAAACAGGTCCCAAGCTAAATATATTCATTTTAATGCATTATTTCCCATATCTTGACACTTCAGTGATGCAAGTCTGCATCACTTAAGCTTTCAAGAGTTACAATTACAGTAGAGCATTGTTAATAAGCCCCTATAACCATCACAGGAAAAGTTTCTCTCTTATTTTTTAGATAAAGAAGTACTAAGGATGAAGTTCCACATTTCTTATTTGATATTTTATTGTTTTAGTAAATACAGTCAAATATGTATCTGATCATCTAATATAGCTAAATTACCACACAAAAATAAGATGCTTACATTGTTTGAGCAATGAACTTGAAACAGTCTTGAATTTTGACAGTCTGGAAACCAGAACTATACCATGATTCATCCTCATTAGAATTTAAACTACTATCGAATTACAGTAGCGACCTTACATAAAAAAAACCACTACGAAAAACAACAACCCCCCCCACCCCCCCAAAATATTATGGCATTGGTAAACAGCAAAAATATTTCTTCCCATCTGTACTGTAAATTCCCTGAAGGTTTGTTTTCTATCATTGTGATAGAGCAAAAATTTGAAACATGTGACTTAAATGGATACAGACTCAAGCAGAAACGCAATTGCATTAAGTGGCCAAAATACAATTTAAGAGCAGAAATCACTTATAATACCATGTAGAACCAGAGACAGAGACTACTCTTGGAATTTAGGAGTTTATTCATTTCTCAGGATTATGTCTGGGTGAATTCTCTGCCAATCCAATCTCCACAAATGGAAACAGGAAGAGCTGATGGTGAAATTTATCCGTGAGGCTGAGATATGGCCTCTTTTACAGACATCATATTTTAAAAAGCATGTAAATTTGTACACTTCCCTACAATAGCACCAGTTAGAGATTTCCAACTAGACAGATAAAGGCTTATGAAAGGTGGAATGAACTAAGTTTAAAACTTCATTAATTTACTTTTCTGCACACCTCCAAAATGCAATTTTGATTGCTAGCACTGTAATAATAATTTCCATTTAAATAAGAATAAAATCCAAATTGCTTTGCCTTCTGAATATACATTATACTTATGTTAGTGTATATACTGGGAACAGAGTCATCAAAAACTTTGATGGTTTTAAGAGCTTTTTTCAAATAAAAACACTTAGCAATGTTACTAATAATAGTGTCCCTGCTTAAATGTCTAAAATGAGCAGAAAATTCAAAATAATTGGTATTGAAATTAATTCCTCCTTTATAAAAGATAAAACACTGAGGGGTTTAAGGAATATGCCATCTAAGTGACTGAGATTTCTGAAGTAAAAAAAATATTCTTTGAATGACACTTAGTCCTGCACAGTTTATGAAAAACATTTGGCGAGATTAAAAAAATGCTAGTGTTTCTTCAGGCAAATTTAACATAATATTATTATCAACATAACACAACCAAGAACCTTTACCTTCTAGCCATGTGTAGAAAGATTCTCCTGTAAATATAAAGTATGTAGTTAAATGAAGAGTATTCATTTTCAATATTATAGTATCTTTATGTTACTATGCATACCAACATTAGCTGCCATTTGGATATAAATAGCTAAATTATTTAGCTAAATCTGTTGAGGCTAGGAGAGCTACAAGCATGAGTGTGACTATGCCACCAGTCAGGGCACTCCGAGGTGTACAGAAGCACAAACCTAATGATAGACACAAGTGGTGAAAGATGTGATGGAAGAGTGTAATTATATCTTAGACCCTTTACCTTCACTGTTACTGTCTGAAGGTTTTAAGTAGGCTTAGACCTTTTGCCCAAGAGCTTTCAGTTCCCTGAAAAGTCTTAGTCTGTCTCACTGTAGAAAGCCCCAACTCATTTTCTCCCCACTCTCTCCCCACCTCCCCAAAATCAAGAACATTCTCAATGAAGACAAAAAACTGTCTCTCTTAAAGGATCTGACATCACTATCAATGAGGCTCTGGAGGAGACCCAGGAATACATTTGTGCATCTCCAGTTATCTCGCTAGTGACATTATCACAACACATACTCTGTTAAACAGATAAAAAACAACAACAGAACTGTATATTGCTCCTATCCACTCCTTCCCCCTATTCCAAATGAAAGAATTATCCTAATAGAAACATTTTTCTTATGACCTGCATAAAAACAACTTTCCTGCCCTCTAATGCAATAGCAATAAAGTGAATAAATCAGATGTCTAAAACTCTTTAATGCTTACTTCCATTTCTGCAAGCCAAGCAAAATAAGATGACTTACCATCATCTCCTCCTTAGGGTGGGGAGAAAAAAAAATTAAAAATCCATAAGCATTAAGAAGATAATTTTCACAGCAAAGTAGTAATGAAACACAGACTTTACTACAAACATTGAAAAAGTGCAAGAAGCCTTATCTAAAAAACTCCAAAAGTCAACTTTCATCCTCTTCCTCCCCAAGCCCATCTGAGACTAAACACATTCTAATGAAAGTCACTAAGAATTTAGAAGTCTTAGCAGCAGATGATTTACATATTCTTAAAAGCTATGTTTTAAGCTTCAGAAAGATAAGAAGTTGTCTTCTTCAGTTCACATTACTAAACAATCTGACCAATTTTCCTGTCTGAAAACCTGATCCCTGAGTTGAACTGCTCTTAAATTTAATTTTGTGCGTAATAGCAATAAATTATCCCCATATCCATAATTACTAAAAGCTGTCTTGCTTTTCTAATGTCTATTGATGATTTCTAACTCAATCTTCTGGCTAATAGTTAATTTTTAAGAGTCATGACATACACTGACAGCGGAAAACTGATTCATTTGGAACATCAAGTTTCAATTTAAATTTGAAAACTTAAAATCCAAGTCATTGGCACACTTTTCTTAACATCAAGGCTAACAACTGAGCCTTCCTAAGTAACCACGCTTTCTTCAAATAATGCAATTATTTGTACATTTGTAATCCGTTAAACGTTATGGCTGGAAAAAGTACACCTACATGGTGCTAGGATGAATATGAGCTAAAGTGATTAAATTAAATGCTCCACAAAAAAAATACCAAAGGAAGAATACAAAAGTGCTGAAATTTTTGTTGGAACTTTAACTCCTTCCCATTCACATTGGAAAATTACTGTGACGCTTAGTAAACAGTTTGAGACTGACTTTAGTTTTCACATTAGCTCCCCTGACACCAATAAGCCTATTCATATACCTAAGATTACATGTGTGTGTAGTCACCTATCACAAACTTTAGTCTAAACCAAAGAATCATAAAGTGGTTTGGGTTCAAAGGGACCTTTAAAGGTCATCTAGTCCAACCCCCCTGCAGAGAGCAGGGATATCCTCAAGTAGATCAGGTTGCTCAGAGCCCTGTCCAACCTGACCTGGAATGTTTCCAGAGATAGAAAAATGGACAGCTACTTCTACAGAGGAAATTAAAAGAAGCATAAAGCACACCTAGAGACTGGAGATTATTACTTTTATCACTTGTACTGCAATAGTCACTCTGCTAAAAGAACTGCATTAGAAAATGAAACAGGCAAGACCCACCCCTACTAGGCGCCAGTGGATTTAAAGGACGATAGACAGATCGAGGCCTAGAAAATAAGTTAGAAAACACAAAAATCAGTTTTATGCTAAACTGAGTTGCAAGTAGAAGAAACAGGCTTCCTCCCCCTCCCAATTACTTGAAGCAGTTTTCTTCGTAGATGCTGTTCCACACTCTCCAAGCAGAAGGCCCCTTGTATCCAGTGTAGCGTTCTGGATTCAGCAGCAAATCCACATACTGCGCATCTGGAGATCTCTCATCTAAATAGGAAACATTTTGTTACATATTCTAACCGATCCATTAAAGACTTAACTTTTAAAAAGTCACACAAATATAAATAAGAGGTGTCATGCTGTTCTGTCTTCTGATTGAATTATAACTGTATTTTTAAGTACAAGGCATTTATACACACTAAATAGAAAGCTCAAAAGCATATAATTTGTTCCAAAGACCCTTGTGTGGCCATAATGTCTGCAATGTCTGAAAACCTTCTACGTGGCTTCTTCAACTCCACCACAAAAACTTGTCATGCAATGTGTTCTCTCGCCCTATGCTAAGACATAAATGGTGCTTTGTTTTAAATGGGCTTCAAAAACAGGGTTTATTTGTCCAACAGTATTTCGTTGGGGGGTACAATATTGTATATTTATTTTTTTTCCCTTTTTTCCCCACCAATAGCCTTGTATACTGGCAGAAAGTCCAAATCACATTGCTTAACTGAAGAAGCTTTCAGCACATTACAGAAGGCTCTGTCGGTTGTGGCAAGAAACATGTTATTTAAGCAGCATTTCAACAAGATACACCCTCCTCTCTAAAGTTCATTACAAATTCAGGCAACACGTACAAAGAGTTGTGAAACAGTACTCTCTGCTTTAAAACTCTGTATGAATAGAAACCTAAGTTTTGAGGTACAGCCAGTAAAAAGCAGGAAGAATTCCTTCTTCTGAAATTCTAAGTCAAGACCAACTTATGCTTAAGAAAACCCCACACACAATACAAGCCAGTAGTCCAGACACTTATTCAAAGGGAATAGACCAAGCAGTGCCACTATTTCCTCAGATGCTGAAAAAAGCCACAGAAACAGAGTGAAAACTGCTCTAAAAAGAAGAGATGATTCTGCATGAGCAGTTAAGCATCACTTCAGCAGTAGTAGCAAAAACAAAGGCAGGCAACAGACACATGATGCACAACAACACAGTGCCAGATGAGACAAAGACAAATTACAGCTTTATTTATTTTTTTGACAGCATGGCTAACACAAACAGTTCCTACACTTCCAGGTCACTTAAGGTCTTCCCCCCCACCCCCTTCTTGTTACCCACATACAACTGAAGTTTTTTTCAGCTAGATCAATTCCCTTATCTAGTTTATCATTAAGCCAAACAAAAAGCTAGCAAAAGGTAAAACTGATGGTAAGGTTTTTGTGCTACAGTTGAAGGAATTAAGAGCTCTCTCACCATCAGGGAGAAAGGAGAGGAAGAGAACAAGAGTTTTACCTCCTCCCAGTAGTTATTCTCTCTCACCCCTCCCTGCTCCAGCTCACAAACTGACCTGATAAACCAGTTCACCACAACAATATGAGAGATGGGAAGGAGATGTCAACTTACTTTCCCGCTATTCACGTAAGCTGAACCAGCTTACCATGCAGAAAGATGCACGTCAGAGCTAGTGCAAAAAAAGCACTGGAAGAACCCAGCTGAGGGCAGTACAGCCTCCTTCAGCAGAGCATGATGTAAGGAGAGACAGAAGTAGAATCAGGATCTACTTAAGCTAGCATTAGTTCTAAAAGAAATGCTCCTGGACTAAACCTTTCCCAACTGAGTTCTCTTAAAAATCTAGGCAGGCAGCTTGAAGATAGCAGAGACTACAGCAGCTTACTATATACGACAGTTCAGATCTACAGTAATGCTCACCAACTATTTGTTACAGAAATAGCTTATACAGAAAATGTTCACAGGTAAGACACAGTAGAAGTATTGTAAGAGCCACAGCTGTTAAGCCCATTACAGCTGCTACTTTCTCAGGTGACCCCAAACAATAGCCTAAAGGTATATTCAACCGTCTTGCATTATGCCCTAAGTCTTCCTGGCATAGAAAGCTTTCTAAGGTATTTATTGAAAAGGCCTTTAGCAATCATTCGTGAACTTGGCAATTCTCATGTTTACCTGAAAAACATTCCTTTGACTTTTGAATGTTACAAGCAAATAAAAAGACTCACATATGTGGAGCAGTGGGAAGTCACAATTCTAGTATCCTAGCACTTTAACAATAAGAAAGCCCTTATTTTTAAGAGTGAACTTAGTGCAGAGATCATTCAAAAACACAGTAAGGCTGGAAGAACAAACTCAGTCCAAGCATAGACAGCAGAATAGCAACAAAAATACTGTAGTAATAAAACTGAATCAGCTGCAAGTAATTTGTCTTATATTTGTGCTAGATGCAACTCTTTTGTGAGAAGCTTTAAAAAAAAAAAAAAAAAACCAAAGCTAAACCACTCCCATTTACCTTCTTTGCTGCCACGAGTCTCCTGTTCACTCTAACAGGAGGCAACAGTGAGCGTGTACTGTGTAGACTGCCAAATTATCCTTGTAAAAAAATAGCATTTTGAATGTAAGACCACAAAAACTCTAACATCTCGATTGAGTACAAAATTAAAACCTCTTAAAAATGTCTATTTGCAGAGAAACTATAATCTTTTGCATTTTATCTTGAGACACAAAATATAACAAACACTCCAAATAAGCTTAAAAATTTTACCATCAAGTTCACAAAAATGATCCTGTGAATCATCGTATCTTGCCCAGTCAATGAAAGCCTCCTTACTTTGGTTACTGAGGAGGAAAAAAATACATTTGATTTTAAACTTTTAAATTAACAGCATCAATGAGAACTACTGAAAGAAACACAATCCGTATATAGTAGTTAACTTGGAACTGAATTCTGAATTACTGTATCTGAAACTAGAGAATATATGGATATATCAATTGAACCCACAGAGATTCAAGCAGGCTTCAACTGCAATACTTTAAAAAGTCATCTTGTTGTTAAGACAGCAAGAAAGATTTCACCAACGTTGTTTGAACAAACCGTGCATCGGCAGTGACTTCTCATCCTTCAGTAAGATCTTGGTAAAATACTTTCAGAGCATGTGTTTATAACACTTTTCAAAGTACTACTTCAGCAGCTGTCACTTTGTGGGGGATGGAGGAATCATCATATTTTCACAGCCTGTATCTCCAATGAGATCTACAATGGATACCCTTGCTTTTTACTGGGACACTGATGTCTAAATGCCCCTTCAAAGTTAAATCACTCTATGAATATGATTCGTCTTAAGCCTTTTAAAAAATAGTGGTATTGCACTCTCTAGCATTTTTAAAGGTGTACTGTACCAGAGGTACAAGTACTTGGAAGTTCCCACACTGAAACACAAACAATGCCAAAAGCTGGATGCTTTCTTCTATGCATGTGAGCACACTCCTGACAGCAAAATGTAGGCAAAATTAAGATTGGGAATTCTGCTCCAGGGTGCAGTGAAGCACCCTGAAATAATGAAAACAACCTATTCTGTTTGATGAAATTAGTAGTAGCTCAATTCTACAAACAGGCAACTCTATAACGAGACACATTTGTAACCTTTTGCCAATTCACAGTGGGAGACTTTACAGTTGGCATTAGGAGAGGAACTTCCCCAGTAATTACTAGCAGGCAAGATTTGACAGTCTCAAGAAACATGGTTGATAAACGAAAATAATCCAAAACCATGAGGATGGTGCACTGCTATGTAGAGAACATGGACATTTGCCTGCAAAGCACAGACTCTTCCTGCACTTGCAGGATTCATCATCTGCCCTCTCCCAACTTTGCCTATCTTACTCTCACCAAAGGCAGTCTCTTTAGCTCTCTGTATGCATATTCAACCTCAATCTTTTGCCCTACAGGGGTGGAGGAGAGTTTCTTATTTCCCTTTAAAAAAAAAAAATGGATAAGAGCTCTACCCAGTTTGGTTTAAAACACTGCACAGCAGGCAGCAGCAGTCGCTTTTTCATGGCAGTTCCATTTTGCCAGATGACAGGCAAGAGTTTCAACATCTCTACCAGGTACATCTGCTGATATCTGTGGTCAAAGGCACCACACCTCTCTATCAGCAGTGTGAACCAATTCTTCTATTTCTACTTTTTAAAGGTGAGGTATCTAGTACAATGCAGCTTCTTTAAGTGCTGCTCCACACACTTTCCTATTCTGCAGGATGATGGGCAACATCATCCTGCAGAATCCCCCCCCCAACCTTGACTATGCCGTGGAATAAGCAAGATCAGGGAATTGATCCAAGCTAAAAATAACTTTTCCAACAACAGAAGTAACACACAAGCTCCCTGATTTGGCTCACTGAATCATCACAAACAGGCAAATCGCTGTAACAGAAGGATGGGGCAGGACAGAACCCCTTAATCCAGCAGTTAAAGAACAAAGTTTGATATTGGTAAAAGTAGAAAAAAAAGATAGGTTTATTTGCAAGTTTCCTCTGATGCTGTTTACCTCTTTCAAATAATATCAAAGTGGGTTTTTTTAACTCTTGCTGCTTTAAGATAACCTCTTGCAAATAATATCAAAGTGCGTTTTGAGTTGTTTTAAATCTAGTTATCACTTAACACCTTTTCTTTCAGATATCCCTGCATCGTTTCACATATAATCTCAAACGGGCTATGGAAAAAATGAAAAACAAAAATCAGCACATTGCAAAAATGAGACAAAATTAAATGCTCCTTTGTTACCATTTTTGTACTATTGTTGTAAAACACAGCATACCTTAAGGTACTGTTGACAGCTCCCAGTTTGTTAGCTTGCTCACAGTCTTCCAATTCTTTGGAATTATTTGCCACTTTTGAATACTGTAAGAAAGTTCATATTTAATATACAAATGAATTAGATAAAATTCTGAGAATACATGCTCTGAAAGGTATTTCCAGTTTTAGCAGTGAATTGGCTGGAATCAGCTAAAATCTCCAGATTCTAGAAGCAGTAAGTAATTCTGGAACATTTTCCTATTTTTCTTCATTTAATTTCAGCAGGCCAATTTCACTTAGTGGATTTAATCACCACAGAAAATTCAGATCAATATGTCAAAACATTTTATTGTTGTTTAAATTAAATGGAGTTCTGAAGTGTTTCAGTTCCTTATCTACATTCTTGTAAAAGGACCTTAGAAGACAAGCAATATCATACCTACAAATATACCTTGTATTTTGCAAGCATAATCATACTCCAAATTTTCTGGTCACTTCAGTACGAAAATGCATCAGTTTTAGCCATTTTCCCCTCATGTTTCATTTAATCTTACTCATTGGCATGCTTTAGATGTGTACAGGTCTGGAAGAGGCTTTTCAAGCTGAACTCAAATTTTGATTATTTTAAAACCAGAATAGAAGTATAAGCTGAACTCTGATTCTACAGTATTTTAAAAAAGTAATCCACTAAAATAGGCTTACTATTAAAGTACTTCTAAGGAAACCATTTGAAGAATTAAAGATTAAATTCCACTATTCTACAGTAATATGTTTATGACAGCAGGAAATTTTTTAAATCTGTCAGCTTAAAAGTAAAAAAATCCTTAAAGTTTTGGAATATAATAGACAGTATCAGTGCTCTCTTAAAAGACAAACCAACCAAATTTCCTGCTTTTTGGGAGGTTTTGGGTTATTTTTTTTTTGTGTGTGTGTGTTTTCTTTTACAGACTGAGCCTTCTCTTTACACAAATTTCTGCCTTCTCACAGTACTTAAGAAATACAGAAAAATATGTAACAAAGTGATAGCTTATATAAAGTTAAATCACTAGCTTCCCTTCACTTCAGGGCACATATATATTGACAGGAAGGATTACTATCTCAGCTGAAAATAAAAATGTAGGCTAAAGGTTTTGGTAAGAAATAGTAACCAACAACCATAATTTCATAAATTTTAAAAGGAAGAATAGTTCATTTCTGAGCACAGACTTGTGGTCAAGACACTAGAAGCAAAGCACCACCACCACAATACATATCACAATACTTCTCAAAAAAAGAAAGGATTTAATGAAAACTGTTCAGGTGAGTAAGCAAGATGGCTTGCTTTAAAAATGCATTTGCGAAAACAAATACAAGGAAAAACAGCAGAGCCTAGTGAAGACCAAAGAAATGAAGATTAAAATACCCTAATAATTTAAACCTTGCTAGGGGCCTTGCCCATACCAAGTATTTACTCTAGAAGGAACTTCTCACTCAGTTTTCTTTAATTTGTCAGGTATGGAGTCTCACTCTTTACCATCACACAAATGTTAAATGGAAAAATCTGAACAAAGAATGATTCTGACCTACAATGAAACAGATACGGCTGATGAAATAACATATGGAGATGCTGAAGTAAATATTCTGCGTGCCTAGAGTTGCAAGCCGATCCCTACCCTGAAGTGAAAAAAAATCACTGCCAAGAAAATAATCCTAAATTTAAGGTTTAAAACAGAATGAACATCCAAGTCTCAAAACCTGCTTGAGCAGGTCCAGGAGGGCCATAAAGATGATCAAGGGGCTGGAGCACCTTCCCTGCAAGGGCAGGAGGAGACAGTTGATGTTGTTCAGCCTGGAGAAGAGAAGTCTCTGGGGAGACCTTATAGTGGCCTTCCAGTACTTAAAGGAGGCCTACAGGAAAGATGGGGAAGGACTCTGTCTGGGACTGGAGTCATAAAATGAGGGGTAATGGCTTCAAAGTGAAAGAAGGTAGATTCAGCTTTGATATTATGAATAAATTCTTTACTATGAGGGTGGTGAGACACTGGAACAGGTTGCCCAGTGAAACTGTGGCTGACTCTCCCTGGAGTGTTCAAGGCCAGGCTGGATGGGGCTTTGAGCAACCTGGTCTGGTGGGAGGTACCCCTGCCCATGGCAGAGGGTGTAGAACTAGATGATCTCTAAGGTCCCTTACAAACCAAAACATTCTGTGATTCTATAAAAACATGTTGTCAGGCTTCATTATTCTCCAGTGTTTAACAGCAACATCTACCAGATCAGTGTTCCATGACCACTAACTAGATCATAACAAAGTATCTGTTTCTGCCAAAACAGGATCTCCTAAAAGCACTTTCTGGAAGAAAACAGAAGAGAGATGGACAGAAAGTAAAGTATTACATTCAGTCTTATAACTTTTGAGTTACTGCATCCTGTCCCTTGCTTAAACGTTTAATACAGCAGCTGCCATGTCAGTTCTTTAATGTCTAGCCCCCCAAAACGTGTTCACTACTCAAACGAAACAGGACTACAGAAACGGAAAGTACTTTGAGCCTCTCCAGCAACATTTCAAAAAGCTTACATTGGTGCCAAGAATTAAAAAGATCCTCTATTGCTAAGTGCACTTCTGTGGGGCAGCTGTGCAAGTGTAACTCTGGTCTTCATGGCTAAATGAGCTTTCAAAAGAACTGCTCTCTCTATGGTTCAGCAAACAAACAAAAAAATCCCCCATGAAAGCCTAAATAAAGCTCGATGTTTACAAGCTCATCTACATTAGGAGAGAAGGGCAAGGGGAAACCACACAGTAGCCAAGCACTGAGACCACAGAAAATTTTGCCACACTACTCTATCCTGAGTATATCTACTCAAGAGATTATAACTCTCATTATTAAAAAGAAGCTTTTAGCTGTTTTCACCTATCCAAGGCAGACACTATAGGAATGAACGACAGAATCTGGACGTGACCCCAGAGTAAGATCACCTTTTTTTTCTTTTTAAGCCAGTACTTTAAGGATAATCCACAAGATGCAGGATCAAGCACAGTACTTGCATAGTCCTTGAAACAAAACATTCATAGGAAGATGAGTTTTATGTTTCCTTAAAAGGTAAAGTAAATTATATTGTCAATTTTTAATTGGCTCCAAGAAAGATTTTTAGCCAAGTCACAAATAGTAAGAAAATGGTGTAGGTAAGATTTGTGTCAGTCCTGATGACAATTTTACTGCAGAAATATTTCATTTTCTCACAGGGAAGCAGCAGACATCAGTGTCTTCGTCTGCTACAGATCAAAGGTGCAGAACTGCCCACCTTTGAGTACTGTACCTGGTTGCAACAACCTACAAGGCAAGTCAAAGGAAACAACTGCAGCAAATATACTAGCAAATGACAGCTTCCCAAACAAGCCATCCTACTTTATTGTGGCGAAACCAAAAGGTGGCCGATTTTTCACTTCCAAAGTCCAATTCAAGATGCTCATGTGAAGTATTTAAGAACAGCATACACTTTGGCTACTAATTAACATCTTATTTGCAGCTCTCAAGATTAATCCATCAGGAAGCCCAAATGCCTACTACAAGAATCCTTTCTAAAACTTCTGAAGACTTAAAATGCCTCTTTAGGAGGCATTACAGTATTCCAGAACTGTCTTTTTCCACAATCAAGCTTATAAGATAAGAATCAATGAAAAAGAAATGCCAACAGATTATCCAGATAAAACTCAAGATCTTCTGCCTAGATACAGTGCCAAACTTTTCCTAGAACAACTACTGCTGCTTGTGCTGAAATGGTGAATGACTGACATTCAAGTCACGTCAGTGAGAAATATGTTTCTTCTATGATCATCAGAAGCATTTAAATGAAGAGGCACACTTTACTTCAGGCTGAGCTTAACAACATCTGTATGAAGAGATGAGACTTCTTCCTGAGCTAAAGCCTGGACAGAGTTGCCTGCACTGTTCATGGCAGCAGGACACAGAAGTCATCAATTCACAAACGCAATATTCCTCTCAGCCACCTTAGGTAATCTTTTGTGCCATAAGTCTACACCTAATGCTGACGGGCATTTATGATACAGTGAAGTACACTCCGATACCAAGTTATACATGAAAGTAAAAGTGGAAAGCTACATACAGGAACTGATTAGTTACATTAAAATAACTTAAGCCTGAAGATTTGTAATAAGAGGTCATACAGCTACTGTAAAGATAAGATTTAAAAAAAAAAAAAAAAAAAAAATCAGAAACAACTTAGAAAATTAACAACTACTTACTTTATTAGAGCTCCCAGCCTTAATTCCAACAGGTATTTTGCTCTAAAACCAAAAAATAAATCACAGATTTTACACTGTTCATAGAAATTATGCTTGATTAAAATCTACAAATTAAATAGAATTCCTGCAGAGGTCAAAGCAAAGTTACTTTTAAATAATTAACTTTCTCCTTTGCCTTCTCAACACGTTATATCCAAAACGATTTTAGAGCTTAGAATAGACAAAGTTATTTGTTTTACTGGTAAAATGACTAAGACCTTAGAATACTTTAGCTGTATTTCTGCTTTTGGAATGGAAAATAATTCTATTGTTATTCTTTTATTTAAAATTAAGTTCTCATTAGTAAATATTGTTTGTATAGTATTATTCACAGCAAATTATCAAACTTCTTAACCAAATAACCTTTTTCCATTTTATATTATTTGATCCATACCTCAGGACAAGGCTCTACATGGCAATCTTTGATAGAACAATGACCATCATCAGCCCAAAATGGACAGGGTCTCTTCAGGTTGACCTAAGCATACAAAACAAAGTTCACAATCAATACTTACATAAGGCAACTTTAAAAGAAAGGGCTCTCACATCATAAACTCCTTTCAAATTAAATAAAAGGATACAAGGGAAAAGGGTTGAATTTAGTACTTTGAGTCTAGGGGGTTTTCTTGGGGTTTGGTCAGTTGGTTGGATTTTTTAACTGCTCTCTCTCCAAGTATATAAGTTGAAACTTGCTACACTGGGCTTGTTAGTGATAATGGTCTCCAGTGGACACAAACACATAGTATATTAAAGCACAAATTAAATCTCTCACTGCTAATAGTACTTCAAAGCAGCAAATAAACTACTGAAAAGAAGGTAAATCAGACTCCAGGGGAAGTTTAGGTTGGAAACAAAGAAAAATTTCTTCCCCCAGAGAGCTGTAAAGCACTGGAACAGGCTTCCCGGTAAAGTAGTGGAGTCATCATCCCTGGAGGTATTAAAAGATGTGTAGATGTAGTTTAGTGGTGACCTGGCAGTGCTGGGTTAACAGCTGGACTTGATGCTCTTAAAGGTCTCTTCCAACCAAAATGATTTTATATCCAGACTAGCACATAAGTTTACTAATTCAAATAAGTGCTTGGATGATTTCAGATTTCAAGCAATAAAAGTGGGCAATCTCTACTACACATCAAAGCTAGTCAGTGAAGAATGAGTACCATATTGGCCTCTAATTTGAGAGCTGACATAGTACAAATAAAAGCCAATGAAGAGAAACCACTTCAGAAACATTACCAGTAAATGCAGTGATGATTAGTGCTTCTGTTTGTCAACAAATGACACAATAAAGGCAGGGATTATCACATATATTAGTATATACTCCATTAAAAAAATAAAAATCCCAGCTTCCCTTTACAGTAACCTTACACATACTACCAAACATTAGTGATAAACACTTTGACATCACCACTCCTCTAAACTGAAGACTACAGACTAAAGGTTTTCCTGCATGATCAACCAGGAACACTGCAGTAGTACACTGTCTTTGAAATCTAACTTTACGAGTAAAATACAGAGCATTTATCCTCAGTAGCAACACTATTTTCCAGATAAAATGTCAGTCTTAAAACCTTCAAAGAGAAAAAAAATCACCAAACACACAAAACAAAAACTACTTCTATTCTTTTACTTTGTTTTCCTTAAGCATAGCTTGTACTATTCTGTTAATAAATACTATGCATGAAGATACTCAATTGAAGTCACTTCTTATATCCAACAAACTATCTTAAATGATGTATCACTTCTTAGTTGAAACTATTGCAGACAGTGAATTTCATTCTGCAGTCAGGCAGCACAAGAGTCCTATAAAATGCACAGCAAAATTAAGATGAATACCCTAAAGATGGCAGCAGAGCAGTTTCAACACAAAAATTTAAGAATTACAAATGTGCTTATAAAAATTATTGAAATCCATGAATCTGAAGTCAGAATACTAATCCTTATGCTAGCTTATGGAAAAAAAAAATACATACAAACCTATATAGTAAATAGTCACACACTATAAAGAACAGTGTTCTCGCTATACCTAACAGGTTAAAAGATTGAAACTAAATACTTCATCAATTCAATCTTCAGAAAAACATGTTTTCCCCTTATAAATAGGAACATTTTCCTAATTCATGTAATTTATATCCTATACTTCCACTGTGTATAAGGAGAAAAAAACAGAAAACAATGTTTAAACATCTAGTACAGTGGTATCAGAGCAGCCCCTTAGGCAAAAAATTGGCAACTCTAAATTCCAAGCTCTGATGAACTTGGAAGGCCACTGCATGTGGTACTTGAAATGTTCCTGGTAAAAGAAACATACTACTCAGTCTTTTAATTTGGAGAAAAACTGAAGTCACTGAGCCATCTTAAACAATCCATTACAAAAAAAAACCAAAACCAAACCACCTTTATGCTTTGAACACATTTAACTGGCAGGGTACCTTTATACCAGATCAATGATTTGCTTTAAGTGGTCTGTTTTGGAGGGAATACAGTAATAAAGCTCAGTTGCTACATTCACTGGATTGTCAAACAAGAACCTCTGCAAAAAAAAAAAAAAAAAAAAAAAAATCCAATTCACATTTTTCCCCCAGCATTATATACAGTATACTAAGCATAAGGAAAACTAGATCAAAATGCCTCTGATACAAAGCAGGAACAACAGAAAGAATGTGAGATGAAATATAGCCAGATTTTACTCTCCCTCCAGTCTATTCCCTCAATTTTGACAGCTAAGAAAAATCAAAACTATGTGCCAAAAGTAAAGAAACAACCCTTAATACCTGAAGGATAAAATGTTCGAGGCACTACATACCCAGATGAAAGCAAAACAAAAAGAATTCCCTCTTCAAGTGTTCTGCCAATACCACAAAAGATGGTCAAAGAGAAAAACTTCATGTTTGAGGCTCAGCTGCCCTTCATGATGCTAAATCCTCTAGCAAACCTTTCAGCAAGTAAGTTCTTTCTGTATTTTCAAAACTCACATACAAAGGTAACTGCTACGTAACATCTGAAGGAAAAACTGTTTCCCAGGTTTCCATTTTGATTTACCTATTCGGCATGACTGAGAATTATAAATTCAGTTTCAAAATGTTAAAGAGATTCCTCAGTTAAAAAACCCCTAATGAGATACTAAGCAGATGGTATGACTTCTTAAGAGTGATGACAACTGTCTTCTAGTTACAGGTCAAGCCATGTTAGCATAGATACGTTAGAAGCAGATGTACCTATTTAGGTTCCTTCCCCCTGCCCCTGCCCCCTATTTCCTCTATTCAGTCCAGAAAAATCATCCTTGGGGGGGGGGAATTAAAATTTTATACCTTTTTTTTATCTGTTCACTCATAATCTTTTTTTCAGTAAAGCACAAAGTAGTGTTAAATTTCACATCACCTTCACAATAAGACCCAGAACATATCCCTCCCACTAATTTGTACCAAAAAGAGAGAAAAAAATAACATAATTAGGCTACAACCATCTTCACAATAAACTCTAACAACAAAAAAAATGCTAACACACTTTGGAAGATCCAAGTAATGAGGCAGTTGCTGTTCTTACAAAGAGGAATGCTGTGAATAAAAGAATACGGATGTCTAAACTGCAGATGAATTCAGAAACACCACCTGCAAATCAAGACATACTAGTCCCAGAATGACTGGCGAGCAGTAAAACCCAGCGTGCACACACTTCTGAGACAAACTGAGGTTGTACACCATTTGTACTTTAATCAATACCAGTCATGCACTGACTACACGGAACATTACTGTCTTCAGGGTCTGAAGTATAGGATTTCATTATTATAATTTACAGTATTATTCAATACTTGTCACAGATTAAAAGTTAGATTACTGATCATGAGGCTTCCATAGTTGGACGTTTTAACACATAAAACTATACAGAGACAATTTTTTATTCCTTTATTTCTTTGATAAGTGTTCCACTAACTACCTAGAAACAACCTAGCACAATTTCAGCATGACTTTAAGAAGAAAGTTTTCTTCAGCTTTTAAATAAAAGCTAGCTAGTCCATTCATTATTATACATTAAAGTTTGAGGTTTTATAGCTGTTGAACTAGTAACACAATGGGAATACTGTGACTGTAGTTACAGAAATTCACGATCCAAATTCCTATCACAAATTAATTACTTCAGAGTAGGAGTGTTTTCACTCCCCGAACAAGTACACTCCCTCTATGCTTATTCAGTATTTAGCTACAATGTAGTTGACCCAGATGATTACTGCCTACCCTCACAACTTCCACATCTACCTCTGTGCTTAATTGCACTTATATGATTCTGTACAGGACATCAAAAACTCTGTTGCTTATTCAGAGGGGAAAGGGTGAAAAATGTTCTCACTTATTCAGTTTGCCTGTTCAGCACAAATTCTTCCCTGTCACAGCTGGAAGTACTCAATGCGTGGTGATGGGTGAACTGGTCCTTGTACTTGCCCATCTATTAGGCAGTTCAGTATGAAAGATGAAGCAGGATTGCAACACAACATTAAATGATCTGCAGAACTGCTGTTGAAATGAGGATTAGCTGTAAATTTGTGAGATGAAATTACTGTTCTATAAAACCTCATACACCTGTTGCTCCTTCTCTTCAAATACTATGTTTTGTATCCCTCTATGGCATCTGGGGAACCTAATTACCACTATTACATGAAATATTATATTCTGCTGAAAAGTGAAGTTAGAACTGTATCATGTAGCAGGAGGAGATTCAAGGGGAAGTTACACATTACTTTTTTTCAGACTAGAAAGCAAAGATTCTAGCACTTTTTTTTTTCATCTTTCTTTACATTCATAGCCCCATGTTGCACAAACTTAATACTTGTCTCCTCCAGATCAGCTAGATAGCTTGCTTCATCCTGGGGAAAAAAACAAAACACAACAAACACCAAAGCCAAACATCCAAACCAAAAACCTACCAGGTTGAAGAGACACGCTGGCCTAACACAGTGAGAAAAGCCCAAGAGCTAAGAGAAAGAAAAAGCCAGGACAACCCGTCCCAAAGCAGCATAACCTCCTTTTTCCAGTGGCAGGTAACTATCCGATTAGCTCAGACAAAATGCAACCTCATTTTCAAGTTAAGCATATCTGAAAACCAAAGTATCCACCTTCAAAGTCTTATTGCACTCAAAATACAGAGGAAAAAAAAAAGTCATAAAAAAAGTGATATTGCATACTACAAGAAAACTGAGTGGTTCTACCCATTTTTCAGAGGAATAATGGTTTTCTAGATAGGAAACGCTAAAATCAGAACCAAGGCAGCAATTTACAAGAAAAGGAAATCATTGCAGTATTTCCACATCTCCTAAAAGACAAGTACTGCATGCTGTGAGGAAGTTGCTAACACACAAACCTTTTCTTGACACAGTAAAAACACGACCTTTAAAACTACCACTTATCATCTGAATGAAAGCAGTCAATCCAGGAGTCACTGACAGGAAATCTTAACACAGCAAACACGACTTACTACCAACATCCTTGTCAGAGACAGAAAACCTGCTACAACCAAATAAAAGAGCTGTGGGCTTCTAAGAGACAACTTAGTATGGACAAGTTGATTTCATATGTCATCTTCCCTGTATTTTCTGAATTTTATTTAAATTATTTAGGAAAATACTGTTCTAACTGTACCTTGTAATATCTGAAGTAATCACGTTCTTGCAGTTTCTGTATTTTGGGGAAGATCTTGAAAGTATTGAAGTCGTCAATGCTTTCTATGTCACATAAACAATCATCCAGGACTCCTGTGAGCTATTAAAAAAAATACATTAGAATATATTTTTAATCAAGAAATTAAATATTAAGTACAGAAAAATCCTCTAAACAGAAAAAGATCCCAGTCAAAAGAAATACTAGTGAAATGCAGTTCCGTAGCAAATAAGTTCTCATCATTAAAATACTTTATAATGTACCTTACACACTCAGAATTAGAAAATAGCAGACCTTAGCACTTTTTTTTAAGTCCACCTCCAAACGCAATGCTGAATGGGTATTGGCAAGATTAACACCTGAAACTTGTTGACAGATTCAGTATACAGAACTTTCTGCAGAATGAGCAGCAAGCTTTTCCAAACCACAGACACATGCTCCATTAGCACATCAGAGTTGTATACTTAGTATCCTCCTCCCAAATGGTCATTAGTTGAATTACCTAAAAAAAAAAAAAAAATCCTCTACAGTCATGCACTGTCATCTTCTTTTTGAAATAATTCTCCAAGTGTAAGAACACTCCAGCTAGTTTCATTAGAGGCATGGGAGAAAGGGCAATAGGTACTTCTCTTCCCAAGAAGTTAGTAACTTCACAGGTAAATTCAAACAATCAATTACAGGTGGAAGCATCTATATTGTAAAGTTGTAAATCTATTCAGAAATAAAGTCTGAACTTTCCAGGGCTCATTGCTCTTGTGCCAGGGCAGCAAGCTGGTTGAAGGTACTGCACTAGCTTAAGACCACCTCTGTGTAAAGAAGCGCACAGAAGTGCAGAAACACTGCTGCCAGCACAGGGAGGGGAAGGCAGGACTGTGGAAGCAGCAGAGGACAGCCCCAGCTCCTTCAGTAAACCTGAGCTATGGCAACGCTTTCACCCAGACCCCAACAACGTCCTCCTAGTGAAAGGTGGAAACACAGCAGGTGTCATTCCATGAACGTTTCTGTGAGGAATTTCATTAACTCTAAACTAACTGCTCCTAAGCATAGCCTCTTAAACAACTACAAATGTGTCTGAAAGGCCTTTCAAATGTAAGTTTGAAGGCTTTAGACATATCTAAAGGAATGGAACCAAACACTACTGTTAACCACACTACTTACTGTTCCTCAGACAGGCATGAAATTCAACATACACAATTCAGGCCTAGAAGGCATTTAAAAGTGAAAAGCCCACACATATTATATTTTGTATGAGTTTAGAAGAACTTCTAATTACTAAAAGGTGACGTGCAAAAGGAGATGAAAAATATTTTGTGGCCTTTTTTTTCTCCACAGATTGCACGAAGATGAGATTATGAAATCATCTAATCTGTTTTATGCATGATAAATCACTCCACTACTTTACAGACAGATACCCTTACATAACCAAGCTTGATGTAAGAGTCACTAGAAACCCAACTGTAGGCTTCCATTCTTTCACAAAGCATAAAGAAGGTCTGCAAAATGGTTTCCCCAAAATGCGCGGTGAGGATGTAGAAGTGAGGGTATGGCAATAGAGCATTTAAGTAGAAAATTCACTTTACGTAGACCCTGCTTTTCCTGAGGCACTAAATAGGCTGTCACAGTTCTGCAGAGTAGATACAGCAACAATGTAAAACTCCTTTAAGGGAAGGCAGTTTAGCCAAAGTCGTCCACGCTGTTAATGTTATCTAACCTCAAACCTGGACAAACAGCTCTGAAGGCGCCTGTGTGCAATTACAGGTTTTCCACAAAGCCAAGAAAGCTCACATGAGCATGGCACGATGGCCAACTTCAAAGTCAGAAGAAAAATCTTATTATTATTGATACTTAGACAAAGAAAACCCACATGCATTTTAATCTAGAATGATATAATTTAAAAATTCCAGTTTTCTTAGCAGTCACACATAAGCAGAAATGAATTTTGCAGCCCTTACAGGTAACACCATACCACAAAAAAACCAGATGTACATTCCATTATAATATAATGAATAAAATAATGAAAATAAAAAGACAAAAAGATAACCTTATGTGAAGAACAATAATTTATTAAGCTGAAAGCAATAGGAAAGATATGAGAAATTTTCTTTGGACTCAGAAGTTAAAGAGTAGGAAAGGATTTAATGACCATATCCTGAAGTTATCCACTGCTTACAAAAATATTTTTACCATCTATGCAAAACTGAGAATGCTTTTTCAGAAGAAAATGTTCCAAATAAACCTGCAGTAGTTACACTCAGTGTCAAATCTCCATGGAAAAATAAAAAGCTGCAGTCTTTTTATTCAACTAGGATGGCAAACTACTCAAGGTCACACCTTTGCCATGTCTCTGAAAACTCTCAGTTTTAAGAGAACCTTTGAAAACACAGTACTTGGAACATTACAAAGTTTTAGAAATAAACTACCCCCAAAAACTAGCACTGGCCTAAGAAATTAGTAAGAGAAAAATTACAAGTAACAGCAGCAAGCAAATTAAATTCTCAATTTCTTTCTCAACTTTTTCAGAACTGGAGAGTTAGCTCCCTGTATACGCAAACCAGCAAAATCAATGCTTCCTTGGAAGACATGCTCTAAAATTAAACTATGCTATATCTGTACCAAACCACGACTTACAAAATGGTTTGACAGCACATATGAAACAGCAATAGTGCACATCAGTGGAGTCAGTTCATAGCACACTAATAGAACAGCAGCAACTCGGGTACCCCAGTTAGAGAGTTTTTTATTAGTCCAGGTGTAGTCTTCTGTGCTCTCACTTTTTTAATGACGGAACACTCTTAAGAGCATGTACAAAATAGTTTCATTTTTGTCAATGCCTGGATCTTCCAGTGAATTATTTTTCAAAATGGAGCCCTCAAGAACAGTGCATCACACCGTAAGGCTTACATATTGCTAGACCTCCTTTGCTATTCACACAGTTAGTATTTCACCTTTTTAAAACTGAACTATACTAGTAAACTGAGTCCACAAACATAGAATCAAACTGTAAGTTACCACAACTTTTATTACAATGGTCAAGTATCAAGTTTTCTTTTAATCTGTTAATTACTTTGAACTCTATGATAAACTCTAAAAGCATTAGCCTACTATGATTTGTGTTCATGAAGTCTAACATTGAACAGCTGCTATTTCTTTTATATTTCCAACATGCTTATCAAAGTATTTCCATGTATTATCAAACCTAGGTTAGGTCTTGTACAGGTATCAGAGCTGCACTGGAGATGTTAGATTTCTAGCTTATCTTCTTTGAGATAAATCAACCTTTCAAAAGAAAAGGTCAATGCCCAACCTGCATCAATTTCTCCTTATGAAATCTGGAAAGAGAAACATATTCAGCACTTCAACATTAAGAAAAAGCTGAATAAATACACATAATAGCAAGCAGTCTATTAATACAAACAACCTTATTACTGTTATCAGGTTGTTGCATTTTAATTGCTTCAACAATTATAAGACCATCTGGGACACCTTGTTTTGCTCCTTAACATTTTAGTTTGCCATAGCTGCAAAGGAGAGAAAAATTATAGGTGAGACAGCTCCAAAAACTAATGGTTAGCTTATCTTTTCCTTGCACAAGTCAAACTTGAGGTATCTAAACCCCAAATACAATATGCTAACAACTTTATAAAACAGCTACAAGCAATCTCTTTGCCAAGTGTCATAAGAAAACAATGCCAGTTTGCTAGTAGCATAAGAACCCAAATTCAATTAGCTTCTGGTTATGCTAAAAAGCTACTAAAATAAGGGGGGCGTTAAACCTGAGAAAACCTCAACTTACAACACCAGCAACAAAAAATGTATTAAGAGCGAGCTATGCTAGACTACTCCAGTCACTTCCAATATAGCATGTTACACAAAGCATAAAATGAGAAAATGTAAGAAAAATAATAATCAGATATAGACAAACTTTGCTCCACATGGATGTCGTATTTCCACATAAACTCACTCTAACATCTTTGGCCCAGCTGACATCCTTCTCTACTTGCCACCAGCTGTTATTTCAGCCATGGTCATACTGCTGATGAACAGCAAACTCTAATCTACAGACACTTGTCCTTCTGAAGCTGCGAAGGCATTTACAGAAAGAAGGAGCATTCTCATCCTTCTCTGTTATGAGGGCAAACAGACACGACCTAAACACAAACCAAGCCTGGGCACTGATAGCACTTCCCGAACATATGGATTCTTATCGACTTCATAAGGACACCGAAGTTTCTGCCTAAAGCCCAGGGTATGATCCAACCCCGAGTTCCTAAACGCAACACCTCACGGACAAAAAGCAGGGTTACCTGGATTAACCCCCTCCCTCCCTTTTTGCAACTGGACCATTTCCCAAGAGTACTACCAGCGGTTCCCCTGGTGAACCCACTTCTCCTTTCACCGTCTCAGCAGGACCCCACAGACCTCAGGCACCTAGCCGCCCGGGCCCGGACAACTAGCAGCCGCAGGGTATCGAACAAGAAGGACACGGGCTACAGACCTCACCGAGGGATGCCCCGGCTCCTCCGCCCAAGAGGCTGCACAGGAGGCAGCCAGAAGCCGCATTCTGCCCCGCGACCCTGCAAAGCGTCCTCACCGCCGCCTCCGGCCGGTGTCAGGAAGGTGCGCTGCTCTCCTTCCCGCGAGCAGGGCTGCGCAGCCCTAGGCGGAGCCGGTGGGGCATCCCCCGCGCCCGGCCGCGACCTCTCCCCAAGGGGATCCCACCG